TCCCTCGATTAACCAAAGATCAGTCCATTCTTGAGGCCATTACAGTGTTCACTGATGACATCAGTAATGGTAATGCTGTCTATGCAGGTCCTACAAACAAGCTTATTTCTCTTCCCTGTTTTAACAGGTCTACATCTAAGGTTCCTTTTTCAGGAAACCAAGGACAGAATTTTACCACTGCCCTGAATAGAGTGACCATATTTTCCATGGGCACTTGAACCATTTCCTGTTTTAACCGGAGTTTAATATAGAAGAGATAGGTATAATTTTTATACTCCACGTGACCCATGGTTAACCCGGACCATACACAGACTACTCACCAATTGTCAGGGAGTCGAACACGTGTATCTGTGGACCATACCGATGTCATTTCTCCACACCTACCAAAGGGATTCAGGTTCCCACATGCACTTAGGAAAAAAGAAAGATGATGTGGGCACCAGATATCATGGAAAACCCCACCCCCGATATTTAACGTGGGTTCTTTTTGTCTCGGCTGGTCTCAGAAATAAAGGGAAAGAGTACAAGAGAGATAAATTTTAAAGCTGGGTGTGCAGGACAGACATCACATGTCGGCAGGTTCCATGATGCCCCCTGAGCTGTAAAACCAGCAAGTTTTTATTAGCGATTTTCAAAAGGGGAGGGAGTGTACGAACAGGGTGTGGGTCACAGAGATCACATGCTTCACAAGGTAATAAAATATCACAAAGTAAATGGAGGCAGGGCGAGATCACAGGGCCACAGGATGGGGTGAAATTAAAATTGCTAATGAAGTTTCAGGCACGCATTGTCATTGATAACATCTTATCAGGAGACAGGGTTTGAGAGCAGACAACCTGTCTGACCAAAATTTATTAGGTGGGAATTTCCTCGTCCTTAAGCCTGGCAGCACTACAGGAGAACGGAGTTTATTTCATCCCTTCAGCTTCAACCGTAAAAGACGGCCGCCCCCACGGGGGTCGTTCATAGGCCTACCCTCAGGGGCACATTCTCTTTCTCAGGGATGTTCCTTGCTGAGAAAAAGAATTCAGCGATATTTCTCCTTTTTGCTTTTGAAAGAAGAGAAATATGGCTCTGTTCCACCCAGCTCACCAGCAGTCAGAGTTTAAAGTTATCTCCCTTGTTCCCTGAACACTGCTGTTATCCTGTTCTTTTTTTCAAGGTGCCCAGATTTCATATTGTTCAAACACACATGCTCTACAAACAATTTGTGCAGTTAACACAATCATCACAGGGTCCTGAGGTGACATACATCTTCCTCAGTTTACAAAGATGATGGGATTAAGAGATTAAAGTAAAGACAGGCATAGGAAATCACAAGGGTATTGATTGGGGAAGTGATAAATGTCCATGAAATCTTCACAATTTATGTTCAAAGACTGCAGTAAGACAGATGTAAAAAAATTATAGAAGTATTAGTTTGGGGACCTAATAAATGTCCATGAAATCTTCACAATTTATGTTCTTCTGCCGTGGCTTCAGCTGGTCCCTCTGTTCGGGGTCCCTGACTTCCCACAACAATTGATGACTACCTTCTTCTACCACCATTCTGTATTCCCTTTGCTTTCAGCAAGCACCTCAGCAGGTCATGGTTTTTTTCCTGGTGGAGTGACCCAAACCTTCATTCCTGAAAGGTCTGGGCCATTTGTAGTCCTGCCTGGATTAGACTGTTGTAGTTTCCCATTAACCTTAATCACAGGACATGGTAATACTAAGAGATGCCCTAATGGATCTCCTGTATTCTATGTGTACTCTTCCTTACCTCCATTGGGGAGTAGTAGACAGATTTCATCTTGATAGTCCAGGTCAATCATCCCAACCAACACTGTAACTCCCTTCTTAGCCTGTTGACTAAAAGGTAGGAGGAGCCCAGGCCGGGCATGGTGGCTCACGCCTATAATCCCAGCACTTTGGGAGGCCGAGGCGGGTGGATCACAAGGTGACGGGATCGAGACCATCCTGGCTAACATGGTGAAACCCCACCTCTACTAAAAATACAAAAAATCAATATTCACTCACCAAATAGTTACTGAACACTTAACTTTTTAAAAAACAAAACAAAACAACAGAGAAAAATGGAGCCTTACCCTGTCACCCAGGCTGGAGTGCAATGGCCAGATCTCGGCTCACTGCAACCTCCTCCTCCCGGGTTCAAACCATTCTCCTGCCTCAGCTGCCTGAGTAGCTGGGATTACAGAAGCCTGCCACCACGCCCTGCTAATTTTTGTATTTTTAGCAGAGAAGGGATTTCACCCTGTTGGCCAGACTGGTCTCAAACTCCTGACCTCAGGTGGTTCACCCGCCTCTGCCTCCCAAAGTGCTGGGATTACAGGCATGAACCATTGCACCAGGCCACACTTTGTTAATAATTGCTGTGCCTTGGTGCTAAGGATCAAAACAGAAAATCCTTGCTTTCATGTTTTCAAACTATATAAAGGTAATTATGTTAATTTCCTATTGCTGCTGAAACAAAACACTTTAAATTTAGTGGCTTAAAACAACTCAAGTTTATTATGTCACAGTTCTGTAGGTCAGAAGTTCAGCAAGAGTTGGCTGGTTCCTCTGTTCCTGGTCTCTTAAGGGTGAAATCAAGGTGTCAGCTGACCTGAGCTTTTGTCTGGTACCTCTGGGGAAGAGTGTGCTTTCTGTTTTATTTAGGTTGTTGACAGAATTCAATTCCTTGTGGCTCTGTGGCTGAGGTCTCCATTTCCTTACTGGCTGTCAGCCAGGAGAAGCCTCTCTTGGTTCCCTATGGCCACCTGCATTCCTTGTCAAATTGTTCCTCTCATTATCTTGAATCTCTCTGACTTTTGCTTTGCCACATCTGTACTGCTTTTAAGGATTTATGTGATTAGATTGGGCCCACAGAGATAATCCAGGATTATTTTCCTTTCTTAAAATCTGTAACCTTAATTACATCTGCAAAAGGTCCCTTTTGCCATGTAATGTAGCATATTCACAGGTTCTATGATTTGGGCGTGGGCATTTTGTAGAAGGCCATTCTTCAGCCTACCATGGAGATTATTCTTCCAGAATTATTTTCTGGCATGTCCCTCCCTTAGGTGATCTGGAGAAATATCTTGCACCAATATTGCTTAATTTATTTTGGTTATAACATTAGGTTTTATTTGAACAATAAAGATATTGGCAGTTCTTTTAAAAAGCTATGAACCAGACCAGAAAGGAGTCACTATGGATGTAGAAGAGCTAAAATAAAGAAATCAATAATAAACCTTATAAATAGAATGAGCATAGCAAGTAACTGATACAGGGGCAATGTGATGTCTCTTTTACCCAGCTTCCAAAGAATACAGGGTTGAACAATTACTGTATTTAGCATTATTTCAAGTATAGATTATTTCCTGAATGCATTAGTCTGCTATTATATACAAGATAATCTCCAATTTTGCATACTACTGAGTTTGTTTGAAATTAAATATAATTCTATTTTCTCTCAAAACTGCCCAACATCAAAATAATCATAAATGGGTTTTATTTTCCATTTTTAACTTATCAAACTAGTAACCTAAATGAAACTAAAAATCAATTCAATAACACAGAATTTATAGAAAGTCTACTATTTGTTGGATGTTATGCTAGATCCAGACACTACAGTTTACCTTACACTCCTTGACTGTAGGAAACTGGTAGGCATATAAACAAATAAATCATAATACTGTGCAGCAAGGGCAATAAGAGAAGTGAGCACAGGTGGAAGGAATGCTTTATTCTATGAGTAGTGAGGTAAGATTTTCCTGGCTGAAGGACAAAAAAATCTTTAGGAGGTCAAGGTGGAAGGGGAGCTAAGCCAACAGCATGACAAAGGCACTAAGTATGAAAAGAAACAGAGTATGTGGGGAAGTACAGGTGTGGCTGGAGGACAGAGAGTGAGAGGCAAGTGGTGAAAGTAAAGGCTGGAAGGTCAGCAGGGTCAGAACCTATCATTCCATTCGGTTTATTCTGTGAAAATGTAGTGCCAGCAAAAGCTTTTTAATTTGGGAAAACACGATAGGACTTGCACTTTCGAAAGATTACCGTGGTTGCACAGAAGAGACTGACTGGGTCAGAGGTTAGTTACAGGCTGGAAAACCAGTTTAGATGATACTGAAGAGCAAGGATGAAAGCCTAAACTAAAGCAGTGGAAATGCGAATGTGGAGCAGAGGAATGATTCAAGAAATTCTGCGGTAAAACTCATCAGACTTCATGACTGATTAAAGGTATGGTGGTAGACAAGGGAGGGAGAGGTAGGGTAAGAATGGAGAAACAGGAATTGGGAGTTATTTGGAAATTTCTGACATGGGAGGAAAATCTGGCTATTTCATAACACCTGACTAAATTAGGAGATGGAAGAGCATAAGCGGAGAGGGAATGGCGATGCTCTCTCCTTGACCATACCTTAGTTACGCTCCTCTGAGCCCTCTTCCCAACTAGGCCTCATCCTTGGACCACTATTTTAGGCCTGCTGAGTCCAGTTTTAGCAAGAATCTTGCTAAGTCAGTTTAGAGAGTATCCCCTAGCCTTGATAATTGATCATCCCCACCTGCCTTCAGCAAGAATCTTGAAAGTCAGTTTAGCAAGAATATCCCCTACCCCTGATGTCACCTCTTAGTAATTTTCCATGCACTGACCCCTCAGTCTGCTTGCTGGCTATAATTCCTAGCTGTTTTTGTTGTGTTAAAACTTGAGGCTGATCTCTCTCCCCGACGGTGATAGTCATGGCACCTATTGCAATAGTTCTAAATGTCTTCCTTGCCATTTTAACAAGTGTCAGAATAATTTTTCTTTAGCATCAAGGAGGAATCTCTTTCAAACACTAAAGCTCCTTACACACACCTGTAAGGCTTAATTGGTGCATACATCTTTTAACTCTCCTGTAGCTAAATAACATGTCTGGCTTATCCACCGCTATGGTTTACCAGGCATTATGATGTACATAATCCAGACACTGTGTCCCAAGAACATAGCAAGCTGGCTTTCCCTCCTTGATTTAAAAAAATAACAACAAAACTATCAGTGTAACGTCCACTACATTTGACAGGTCAAAGAACTCCCTTCCTTAAGGACTTTACAATAACCTTACAGGAGGCTAAAGCATACATATCCGTGGGTAGTGGGTAAGCCTTGAGAGCACAGTGTAAGTCTTGATAACATTTTGAGGTAGAGAACTAGTAGACACTGATCTGTTTTCCGGACCTCAATGTAATTGCAAGGGCACTTCAAGAGGGTAAGGGGCTATTGCAACTACCCAAATTCGCTATTGTAGCATAAAAGCTTTAATTGACAGCACGTATAGGAATGAAAGACTGTGTTCGAATGAAACTGTAAAAAGCAGACACAAATATGAATGTCATATAATTGTCATGTGTCGCAAAACATTTTTTTTTTTAACCTTTGAAAAATGTGAAACCCATTTTTAGCTCCCAGCTATATACAGCAGAACCTGCGATGGGCCGGATTTGCCTTGAGGGTTGTAGTTTGCCCCTGTGGTACGCATGAAATGCCAGAATTTTAAAAAGATGTGTTAAGTGTGGGACCATTTGTGGGGCGGTTTATGCTAACTTCCAATACTGTAATATATGTCAAATCGCTTTTGAGTGCCATTTAGTCTGGGTGGCCATGCCCAGGAATGGATACAGAGAAAGGGGCGCGGCGGTGCCGCGCACCACCCTCTAGGAAACTGGTATCGCAGCCCGCAGCTCCTAGGAACTGAGACAGCTTGGGCAGGGGCTTCAGGGACGCGGAGAGGGAGGCTTATCTCTGCCTAAAGAGGATAGCGGCCCCCAAACAAGCAAGCCAGGATACTGCTCCGAGGTCCAGCCCACGAAGGCAAAACGAACTCCCACCGCTCACACACCCGGGAAACACAATAGGAGCACAGCACGCCCCACCGGCAAGCCACGCCTCGCGCAGCACGCACGCACGCACGCATACACGTCTGTCGCTGCTTCCCGCCTTGCGCTCCGTCATGCTCTATTGCGCATACCTCGGGGAGGGGGAAGAACGGAGATTGACAGGGACGCAGAGGCCTGAGCGAGGCGGAAAAACCTCACCCGGGCTAGCGGGTAGACCCAAACGGCTAGTGCGTCACTTCCGCTGGGGGCGGGGCGGGGCTGAGTAGGTGGTGACCCAGCTGCTGCGCCAGTGTTTGTGTTGGAAGCTCAGCTGATGCAGGCCGGTAGGAGTGGACGTCAATGCCGGGAACGAGCGAGTCGCCGCTGCAGCCCTTGTGACTGCGGCCTGCATCCCGGTAAGTGGCCGCGAGGGGACAAGGGGCGGGACGATAGGAGGCTGGGTGATCGTTCTGGACCCTTGTCCGTTTCTCCGGGTCTTCCTTTCTCTTTCTTTGAAGGGCACTTCCCTAGCGAGTGGGTGCGGAGACGCCAGGCTTTGGGGAGGACCTGGCGCTGGAAGGAGCCCGCGGCTCCTGGAGCTTATTGGTGCTCGGCGCCCTCCGCCCCCGTGGACTTTGCTGCCCCAGAAGCGCAAACTGTTTTTGGTTTCGCCGGTCCCGCCCTGCTCCTCCTGTCCCATCCCCAGGACTCCCTCCCCAATTTCCCAGTCTGTCTGCCTTCCCCTGGACTTTAGTGTTCTCCAGTAGTTAGCTGGTCACTCTCGGGAGGGTTTCCCTACTCTACATCATTCTCGACTGTCATTGTGCACCTGGTGATTCTACTGCCTGATATTTTTTGTCAGCGATTTCTTTCTAACCCCATCCGCATTTGATTCCATCCCTGACCACTGCTGCTTAAGTAGATTGAGGTGTGTACTTTTTAAAAGGTGAAAGTGTATGAATCACTGTTGCAGTGCTTCCTATCCCTGTGCCATTTCTATCATTATGCTGGAAGGAACCTGCTTTCCACGCCTAATACGATGATAACTTTAAAATGGTGATTCATAGGAAAAACTTCAGATAGTTGTGACATAAGGGACTGTCATATAATCCTGTTTAAAATACTGTTTGCATTTCCAGTAACAGTTGTATCCTGGTTCTGCAGTCCTAATTGCCGAGAGTTCAAAAATGACAAATGTTTCAGTGTATTAAGAAAATGCTGTTAAACAGTGAAACATTAAGAACTGAGAGCTTAAGGCTTGTGAGGCAGTTGTATCAAGCCCATTGTAGCTATTTTGTTAAATTGCTTATGCAAATTAGTTGTACTTTCAGTATAAGAACATATTTTTATTTCGTAATTATAATCAACTTTTTCTTAATGTTAATCTCGTTTTTTATTTCTGTATCAGGCCTAAATTAAAATCTTGTAAACGCCCTTTCAATGAGTGATGTTGAAGGAAAGGGTCAGTTTCACTAGTTTAGATATTCACTTGTTTCACATGCAAAGTTGTTACAAGAACAACCTGTACTTTGAGTTGTTTTTTTACCCCAGTTAGAGGGGTTGTGCTGAAGCTGCATATTGCTTCAGTCGTGGAATATATATTTGTAAAAAGGTCAGAGTTAGAACGCTTAGCCATAGACACCTTCCTGTCCTGCCATTTTTTGTTGTTGTTGTTGGGAGTCTCTCTCTGTCACCCAGGCTGGAGTGTCCTGGCGCGATCTCGACTCACTGCAAGGTTCAAAGGATTCTCTTGCTTCAGCCTCCCGAGTAGCTGGGATTTACAGGCGTGCGCAACCACACCCGGCTAATTTTTTTAAGTAGAGATGGGTTTCGCCATGTTGACCAGGCTGGTCTCAAACTCCTGGCCTCAAGTGATCACCCGCCTCGGCCTCCCAAAGTACTGGGATTACAGGTGTGAGCCACCACGCCTGGCCGATCATTTCTTAGTTCTTATTTTTTTCTGCAGTACTCGCATATTTTATTCTGTTCCTTATCCGTTACTTGAAAAAAATTGGTCCTGTCTTGGTTTCCAGTGTCCTGATTTTTTCAGGGTGGCTTTTCTCCTGTTTTGTTTCCTTTAGAGTCTTTCTTCCTCTTCTTAGCTCTGGGTGGCACTCAAGCCTCTACCCCTGTCGCTCTCTCTAAACTAGAGTTTCATATTTGAAACCCAGGTATACTTAAATAGGCATGTGAATATATTGAAATGTTATGGAAAATATAGTTTGTGTTGCAAATACATATTTTTCAAGGAAAAAGAGCTTTTCTCAGGTTCTCTAATCCCAAAATAGTCATGTATTATTACTGTAAACTATCATGTGATAAATCCATTTAATGTTGTGGTTTCTGCTGCCACTGTGCTGGTAATTCCACACGTAAATCCACAGTCTGTGTACATTTCCATTTGAATGTCCCACTGTTACTTCATCCTGTGAATCCAAAAGAAAATGTGTTTTTCTCTCGTATTAAATTAGCCCCTTCACAGTTTTCACATATTCGCAAATGGCACTCTTCGTATTTTTCAGATTTGAAACCTTAGAGCTCTCTTAACACTTCCCTCTCTTTACCCCATTCTTGGCTGTCAAGTCCTGTGTTTTGTTGTTTTCTCTTTTTTCCCCTGCTTTCAAAGTGTTCAGAGTGGCTCTCTTCCCCACACTAGTACTTGCTGGGTGAGGTGTCAGAGCCCCAGCATTAGAAAGTGGTCAGCTTGGGATAGTAGGGTAGTAAGAAAAATTTACCAACAACAGTATAGGGTTGAAAAGGAAAGTGTTATTAGATAGAAAGAGTGCTGCAGAAGAGTGCAGTAAGGCGCCTCAGCAAGAGAGGACAGCTCACTGCAGTGGATTTTCTTCTTAGGGGTATTTATGGACCTTACAGCAGAAGCTGAAGGGTAACTTGGACCATATTAGCCACGTAGGTCATGATGAGTGATTACATTTGTAGACATTTTGGTGCTTTGATATCAGCAAAGGTTGCACAATGAGTTTTGACAAGCATACATTCTGGACATGTATAGAAATTCTAGTTACTTATACATTTCTGGGAAAGAATCCTGGTACCAGATGCTGGCTTTAGCCAACAGAGAAGTCTAATTATTTCTAAATTCCTCAGATAAGGAGTTGTCCCTCTGGATGGTCTGCTCAATGGCCACCAGGGCATCTTTGCTCTCCTCAGTACTGTTACCTTCAGACTGTTGTCACCCTTTTGCGTGTGTTATGTTAATAATTAAGTGATATCCTCTGTAAATTCATTCTTTCCATCCTTAGCTGGGCCTCCACCTAATAATTCCCTTAATTCCTCTAGTTAAAACTCCATTCCCTTCTCTAGTGGTTGGTCCAAGCCTCTCCGTTTTATTCGTACCTCCCTTGTATTTATACTACGTCTATTCTTCCTTGCTCTTTTTTCAGTTGTTGGTAGCGTCTCACTTTACATTCTTCTTCCTATGTTTTTGCGATCTAACTTCTGGCTGAATGTACTCTCAAAACACTTATCTTGCATTTACTAATGTTGTGATTTGGGGGCAATTCAATTAAACTTACTGATTTTGTTGGTCATCTTTGTTTTGTAATTTTTGCTTGGTAGTTGTCGTTTCTGAGAAAGGTGTATTAAATCTCTCATTATGATTATGAAGTTGTCTAATCTTGTAATAGTTCCCATATTTTGGCCTTTTGTACTATATTTTAATGCCAAGTTGATAGGTGGTTTCATAAATTCATCATATTGGAAAGAAACAATGCAAAATTCTGCCATAGTCTAGTCTCCATTTCCTGCCTGAATTTTGGGGTCTGTGACCCCAAAATATCTGAGACAGGTCTCAATCAATCTAGAAAATTTTGTCGAATTTAAGGACGCACCCGTGACACAGCCTCAGGAGGTCCCACTGACATGTGCCCAAGGTGGTCAAATGCCACTTGCCTCTGTACATTTTAGTGAGACATAATGCATCAATCAGTCACATTGGTTTGATTTGGAAGGGGACGGGGCTTCCAGGTCATATAAAAATTTTCTGTTTGGCAGTTGGTTGAATGAGTTGCTATCAGTGGAAAGTAATGTCTGGGTTACCATAAGGAGGTGTGGAGACCAAGGTTTTATGATGTGGATGAAGCCTCCAGGTAGCAGGCTTCAGAGAGAATAGATTGTGAATGTTTTTTCTTTTTTCTTTTTTTTTTTTTTTTTTTGAGAGGGAGTCTCGCTGTGTCGCCCAGGCTGGAGTGCAGTGGCACTATCTCAGCTCACTGCAATCTTCGTCTCCCGGGTTCAAGTGATTCTTCTGCCTCAGCCTCCCTAGTAGCTGGGACTACAGGCATGTGCCACTACACCTGGTTAATTTTTGTATTATTAGTAGAGACGGGGTTTCACCATATTGGCCAGGCTGGTCTTGAACTCCTGACCTCGTTATCCACCCACCTCAGCCTCCCAAAGTGCTGAGACTACAGGCGTGAGCCACCGCACCTGGCCTGTAAATATTTCTTGCCAGACTTAAGATCTGTGTTGATGTGAATGCTGGAGGGGTATAATGAGGCACATCCAACCCCCTTTCCATCATGGCTGAACTAGATTTTCAGGTTAACTCTGGAATGCCCTTGGCCAAGAGGAGGGGTCCATTCAGATGTTGAGGAGAGCCGTAGAATTTTATTTTTGGTTTGGTTCATCTTTATCCTTCTTTTTTTCCTCTTACTTGCCTTTAATCATCTTGTAGTTCTTGCTGTTCCAAGGCTCATATTTGTCTCCAAATTGTTGGTGGTTTTTTCTCTCTGACTAGAATGCTGTTTTCCCAGATTTTCTTAATAATTTTCTTTCTTGCTTCTTTCAGGTTTCCACTAAAATGTCAACTCAGTTCTGATCACACCATAAAATAGCGCTCTGTGCCCTTCTTCCCCTCCCCCCTGCTTTATTTTAATTCATGGCACTTCTCAGCCTGACTTTATCCATTCCATTCCTTATTTGTTTTATTTCTCAGTAGATTGTCTTCTCCTCCAAGGTCTACATGATTACCTGAGGTTTAATAAGTAAATGGATCATTCCTTTATTGTTATGCAGTGTCTCCTTTTTATCCATAATTAATGCCTTTCCTTTATGTTTACCTTCAAAGGCTTTTCATTTTCTGATGGGTAGTTTCGGTCTGGTATAACATTTTTCCCAGTCCTGTATTTTCAGCCTTCTGTTACAGGTGTGTTTGTAGCTAGCACATAGCTGGAGTTTTCATTTCTGAGATTTTGCTCTCCTTGTTTATTCTGGGTACAGTTCTCTTTTTGACTCTTTATTTTTGTTCTTTCTGTTTCGCCTTTGAACATTTTAGACCTTAATTGTTTTATATTTCTGAATCTCAGTTACACATTTGTTTTCTGGCTATATTTGCTGATCCTCTCTGCAGGCGATGGTACATTTCTTTGCATGTTTTGTAAGTTCAGTGAGTTCATTTTCTGTGGTGGTTGCTTGGAGTGGGATCCCATTGCCCATAGGGTATCTGCACCTTGAGGATAGTATGACTGCAGTTCCAGACCCCGTGGGTCCTCTTAAACCTGGAGATTTTTTACTATTGACTTTGAGCATGGCTTTATTATTTTATAAAATTATTTTTTATTTTTTAAATTGCCAGATAAAGGTGTATGTATTTACGGTGTGCAACATGATTTTTTAAGTATTATTTTCATTGTGGACTAACTAAATCTAACATATGCATTACCTCACACAGTTATTTTTCTGGTTTAATTTTATATTTTCTTGGTATTCTTCAAGTTGAGCATGGATTTTTTTTTAAAAATGATGTATAATATTTGTATATATTTATAGGGTAGATGTGATATTTTGATACATGCGTACAATGTGAAATGATCAAATCAGGGTATTTAGGATATGCATCACCTTGAACATTTATTTTTTCTTGGGAATATTTCAAATCTTGTAGCTATTTTGAAATAACACAATATGTTATTGTTAACTATAGTCCCCCTACTTTACTATTCAAATAGTACAACTCATTACTTCTTTTTTTTGTTTTGGTTTTTTGAGGTGGAGTCTCGCTCTGTCGCCCAAGCTGGAGTGCAGTGACTGTGATCTCGGCTCACTGCAAGCTCCACCTCCCAGGTTGACGCCATTCTCCTGCCTCAGTCTCCCAAGTAGCTGGGACTACGAGCGTCCGCCACCTCGCCGGGCTAATTTTTTGTATATTTAGTAGAGACGGGGTATGACCATGTTAGCCCAGATGGTCTCGATCTCCTGACGTCATGATCTGCCCGCCTCGGCCTCCCAAAGTACTGGGATTACAGGCGTGAGCCACCGTGCACGGCCTATAATTCATTACTTCTAAGTGTATGTTTGTACCTATTAACCATCCTCTCTTATCCCCTCCTTTCCAGCCCCCAACTCTCCCTCACACACACTGTTCCTAGCCTCTGGTAACTATCATTCTACTCTCTGTCTCCATGAGATCCAGTTTTTTTGGCTCCTACATATAAGTGAAAACAGAGCATGGCTTTTTATCCGCAAGTATTTTACCTTAAGTGTTTTTGTGTCATTGGGGCTGCAGAGCTTTTATGTTAACTTGATTTATCTTATTGTTGCAAGTCCCAAGGAGTTTGGAAGAGCCTTGTGGGAATCAAGGGAAAATGTCCCCTTCCACCTCTGCCAGTTTGCTGAAAATCAGCTGACAGAAACAGATTACTAAGAGAAATGGCATACAAATTTATTAATGTGCACAGCTGAGAGTCGCAATGATTACTTAAATATCCCAGTGGGGCCCACATACTTACATAGCTGTTTTCAGAGGGGAAGGAAAGATGGGGAATAGAGGTAATTCTGTTGAGCGGCAATAACTGATCACTAGGGCGAAGGAATGAACGGGGGGTTGGAGGGACAGAGATGAACTTGTATTCTCTTTGAAAACTGAATGAGCCTAAGAGACAGACTTTATCTTGTTAAAGTGTCATTTGGGTGTGGTTATATTCTTCAGTCTTCCAGTCTTCTTTTCTGCAGCAGATAATAAAATTGTTTTCCCGTCTCCCTGAGGAGGAGACGGGAAAACAATTATTCTCCTTGGGGAATCTGTCTGGTCTTTTTGTAGATAGGGGAAAAGTCTCTTCTAGCATCTGTTGATCTCTGATGGGGCTTTAATTCAAAATACTTATACCAGGCAGCCATATTTTGTGGTAGAATTCCCTGGGCTCCTTCAGCCTGGAAGACAAGATAGGCTTTGCTTTTTTTTCTCTCTCTTCCATATAAAATTCTAAATGGCACATGCAATTTAGAAGGAAGAATTTTACTTCAGGCTGTTATCTTCTGGACAATTGGAATAGGTTCTCAGTTCCATCTTTCTCAGCATCATCTACCTCTCTCTCAATCTCTCTAGGTCCTGCAGTAAAACTGGACTATATGCAATCTCTGCACATACTATATGTGCTTTCTTCCATGCTTTCTTCTGTTTGCTTCTGTGTGTAGTTTTGTTTGTTTTAGAGGTGGGGACTCTGTGGCTCAGACTCCTGGGCTCAAGTAATCCTCCCACCTCAGCCTCCTGAGTAGCTAGGACTACAGGCGTGTGCTACCATGCCCAGCTAATTTGTTTTATTATTATTATTTTTTTGAGACAAGGTTTCACCATTTACCTGGGCTGGTCTCAAACTCCTGGCTGTGTTTGTTTTGTTTACGGTTATTTAGAATTCTCTCCTTTCCTTCTCATCTTTACACATGATGAATTCCTTTTTAACTTTGGCCAGTTTTTAACCTCTTTTTTTCTTAAACTTCCCTCGATTTTATCTCAATTTGTCTTTCATTCACATGGTACCTTCTGTTACAGTGCTTTAAATATTTTACTTTTTCTAATTACAAAATAAAACCTCATTATAAATAATTCAGACAGTAGAAAAGTAAGAAGTAAAAACCGTTCTCATTCCCTTTTGGCCCCATGCCTTAGGTCATAAGAATAAAGAGATGCTTATCCTTTCAGAATCCATTTGTGTATGTATATGTGTGCTCATAAGATTTCAACTACATATGTAGATTTTCATTTTTTAATATGTGTGTGTGTGTATATATATATTCATGTGTGTATAGCATATATAGAACTGCAGATTGCTTTTTTAAAAAAAGACTTTTTTTAGAACAGTTTTTAGGTTCACAGGAAAATTGAGAGGAAGGTACAGACATTTCCATAAACCCCCTACCCCAGTACACGCATAGCCACCTCCATTATTGGCATCACTCACCAGAGTGGTACAGGTATTATAATTGATGAGCCTGCATTCACACACAGTCCCCCAAGTTCATAGGGTACATTTGGGTTCATTCCTGGTGGTGTACATTCTGTGGGTTTAAACAAATGTTTAATTATATTTATCCATTATTATGATACTATACAGAGGATTTTTAGGGCAGTAAAAATACTATCCTCTGTCCCCTACCTATTTATTCCTTCTATACTCTGCTTTTGGCAACCACTGATCTTTTTACTGTCTTCATAGTTTTGCCTTTCTAGAGTGTTATATAGCTGGAATCATACTATGGTCTGAATGTTTGTGCCTCTCAAAATTCATGTGGAAATCATAACCGCTAAGGTGATGGTATTAAGAGGTAGGCCTTTGGGAGGTGATTAGGTCAGGAGAGTGTAGTCCTTAGGAATGGGATTAGTGCCCTTCTAAAAGACAACCCATAGAGCTAGTTAGTACTTTCTACCATGTGAGGACACAGTAAGAAGACAGCCATCTGTGAACCAGTAAGTGGGCCTTCAGCAGATACCAAATCTGCTAATACTGATCTTGGACTTCCCAGTCTCCAGAACTGTGGAAAATTTTGTGAGAAATAAATTTCTATTGTTTATAAGCTACCTAAGCCAGGCATGTGTACCTATAGTCCCTGCTACTTGGGAGGCTAAGGCAGGTGGATTGCATGAGTCCAGGAGTTCAAGGAGGTAGTGAGCTATGATCATGCATGCCACTGCACTGCAGCGTGGGTGACAGAGTGAGACCCTGTCTCTATAAAACACGCACAGATACCCCATTTTATATATGGGGTATCTCCCATATGTAAGCTCCCCAGTTTATGGGATTTCGTTGCAGGAGCCTGAACAGACTAAGACACAGTATGTAGCCTTTTTCAGATTGGCAGTTTTCACTTAGTAATATGCATTTCAGGTTTCTCGCAGTCTTTTTATGGCTTGATAGCTCATGTCTTTGTAGCACTGAACAATTTTCCATTGTCTACACATACCATATATTGACATGCCACAGGTTATCCATTCACTTACTAAAATACATCTTGTTGTTTTGAAATTTTGGCAATTATGAATAAGGCTTCTATAAACATCCATGTGCAGATTTTATTATGGACATAGTCTCAGCTCCTTTGGGTAAATATCAAGGAGTACCATTGCTGGGTCATATGTTAAGAGTATGTTTAATTTTGCAAGAAACTACCAAACTATCTTTCAGAGTGACTGTACCATTTTGTGTTTCTTCAGCAATGAGTAAGAGTTCCTTTTGCTTTACATCCTCACCGGCATTTAGTGTTCTCAGTGTTCTGTATTCTGGCCAGTCTAATAGGTATGTTGTAGTATCATGGTTATTTTAGTTTGCATTTTCCTGATGACATATGATGTGGTACAACTTCTCATATGTTTATTTGTTTCTATATATCTCCTTTGATGAGGTGTCTGTTACAGCCTTTGGCACATTTGTAATTGAGTTTGTTTTCTTATTGTTGAGCTTTAAGAGTTCTTTAAATATTATGGATGACAGGTCTTTATCAGATATGTCTGTTGAAAATATTTTTTCCCAGTCTCTGCCTCGTTGTCTTATTCTCTTGACATTGACCTTCACAGAGCAGAAGGTTTTTTTTTTTTTGTTTTTTTTTGAGACAAAGCCTGGCTCTTATTGCCCAGGCTGGAGTGCAAGTGGCACGATCTTGGCTTGCTGCAACCTCTGCCTCCTGAATTCACGTGATTCTCCTGCCTCAGCCTCCCGAGTAGCTGAGATTACAGACGTACACCAGCATGCACAGCTTATTTTTTGTATTTTTAGTAGAGACGGGGTTTCACCATGCTGACCAGGCTGGTCTTGAACTCCTGACCTCGTGATCTGCCTGCCTCAGCCTCCCAAAGTGCTGGGATTACAGGTGTGAGCCACCACGCCTGGCCAGAAGTTTTTAATATTAATGAAGTCTACCTTATCAATTTTTTCTTTCATGAATCATGCATTTGATATTATCTCAAAGTCATTGCCATTCCTAAGATCATCTAAGTTTTCTCCTACGTTACATTCTAGTTTTATACATTTGCATTTTACATTTAGATCTGTGATCTGTTTTGAGTTAATTTTTTTGATAGGTATAAAGTCTGTGTCTAGATTAATTTGCATGCGGATGTCCAGTTGTCTTTTGTTAAGAAGACTATTTTTGCTCCATTCTATTACCTTTGCTTTTTTGTGAAAGATCAATCAACTGTATTTAATTGGGTCTGTTTCTGGATTCTTTATTCTGTTCCATTGATCTGTTTGTCTTTTCTTTTACCAATACCACATTTTTAAATTGGATTATTCTTTTCTTATTTGTATGTATTCTTTTTATATAGTGGTTAAGAACCCCTTCTATGTTAGATGCTATAGTTTCTTCTAGCCTGACTTACTTGATTTAATGAGCACTTATTACTTAGGTAGTGAAATCTTTTTCACATATCTGTTAGCAGCTCTAGACTGGAAGTTTTGTTTCATATCCTGTAACTGTGTGACTTCAGCATCTAGCACCATGTCTGTTATAGATTAAGTATTCTATAAATCGTTTGCAATGAATGATGTATAAGACCTGACCTTTTTCTTCAAGGAATAGTGTCTTCAAGTCTAGTGTCACATAAAGTAGTCCAGAATTTAACAGTGAGGAAGGGGGAAAAAAAAGCGGAGTATCTGAATTGCATATTAAATTATGTGTTGTAGGAAAACTTACCTATTGGGAAACTTCTCTAAATTAGTTCTTTTCCCTAAACATTCTATTCCTCATTTTCTTTTTTTATTTACCTCTATACTGAAAGTGAATTATTTTATATTAGCTTAAAAATGAATTTTCTATCAGCTATAATGGCAATATTTTATCTGCTTTTTTTGATATAGCTTGCTGAATTTAGTCCAAATAGTCTTGTATTTTCTATTATACCCAATTTCAATTTTTAACATGAATTCTAATTTTTTTTTCTTGCCATTTCAGGTAAGACCATGAATTATGGCATTTCTTAAATGAAGCACTCAAGAAGTGAGAGAATGTCATAGAAAATAAATGATTTTTAAGTTATGTCTATTAATCTGACTGTAGATATATATATTTACCTCCTTAGTAATGCAAGAAGTGTTTGTGGGAAGCCGAGAAGCAAGCAACTGCATTTCTTGTTCTCACCTAAGCATTGCTGGAGGATAAGCCACATCAGTCTACAAAGAGGTTTTCATACAAACATAATAAGATGTAAATGGACCAAAAGCGAAGCACATTCTTGCAGTAAGCACTGTTACTCTCCAAGCAACCATGGTTTACATATTGGAATTTTGAAACTTAGCACTTCTGCTCCCAAGGGACTTACAAAAGTGAACATTTGTGTGTCCCGTATTAAAAGTACTTTGAACTCTGTTTCAAAGGCTATTTTTGGCAATCGAAATGAAATGATTTCACGTTTAGCTCAATTTAAGCCAAGTTCCCAAATATTAAGAAAAGTATCAGATAGTGGCTGGTTAAAACAGAAAAACATTAAACAAGCCATCAAATCTCTGAAAAAATATAGTGACAAATCAGCAGAAAAGAGTCCTTTTCCAGAAGAGAAAAGTCACATTATAGACAAAGAAGAAAATAGAGGTAAACGCAGTCTTTTTCATTACACAAATATTATAACCACAAAATTTGGAGAGTCATTCTACTTTTTATCAAATCATATTAATTCATACTTCAAACGTAAGGAAAAAATGTCTCAAGAAAAGGAAAATGAACATTTCCAGGACAAATCAAAACTTGAAGATAAAGAGGTGGAAGAGGGGAAATTAAGTTCTCCAGATCCTGGCATCCTGGCTTACAAGCCAGGCTCAGAATCTTTAGATACTGTGGACAAGCCTACAAGTCCTTCTGCAATACCTGATGTTCTTCCAATTTCAACTAAACAAAGTATTGCTAACTTACTTTCTCGTCCCACTGAAGGTGTACAAGCTTTAGTAGGTGGTTATATTGGCGGACTTGTCCCCAAATTAAAGTATGATTCTAAGAGTCAGTCAGAAGAACAGGAAGAGCCTGCTAAAACTGATCAGGCTGTGAGCAGAGACAGAAATGCAGAGGAGAAAAAGCGTTTATCTCTTCAGCGAGAAAAGGCAAGTTGTTCAGTGTGCTTTTTGGTTCTATTACTTTTTGTCAAATTTATAAGTTTTATTTCCTAGTGAGAGCTAAGAAACTTGAATTGTTCTTTAGAGCAGTTTTGTATTCTAATCATATATATTTAATATGTCTTTGTAGATTATCGCAAGGGTGAGTATTGATAACAGGACCCGGGCATTAGTTCAGGCATTAAGAAGAACAACTGACCCAAAACTCTGCATTACTAGGGTTGAAGAACTGACTTTTCATCTTCTAGAATTTCCTGAAGGAAAAGGAGTGGCTGTCAAGGTAATTTCTAATTTATTTAATCTGGTTTTGTCTTGGAATAAAAATACTAAAAAATCTTCTAAAATGGAGAAGGCAATGCCGTTCATTTTTCTATTTGAATTTTGTGGTTTTTATTATACATGTGATGTATATTCAGTAATTACCCTATTTATTTTGTGACATACATTATGCTAATCATTTTATTTTGTTAGCACCAATATGTATACATGAAATTAAACATTTATAAAATAGAAAATAATCAGTGTATTAGTTGAATTGCCTAACAGCTGCCAGAGTTTTCTTCAGAGCAATGTAAATATTTATACTATGTAACTATTCTTTTAAGCTAGGAGACATAATTCATATGTAAGGCTGTTTTTATTTCATGGTCCTTTCATATTTGAAAGTCTAAAAATTTTAATGACCTTACTCATAATTGAATTAGTAATTATATTAAGTAAAACAATGAGCTTTTCTTTGCCTCAGTTTTTCAATTATAAAATAATGAGGATAATTTAGACCCATTTATATGGACTGTTTTCAAAGCAGTACTATAAAATATGACCAATGTGATTGAGTCTCTTTACATCTATATTATTGAGATTATTTGTAATATTTCATGAAAAATTTGAAAATGTAATGATAGATATTGCTTAAATTTCATTAGAAATCTCTTAGTGCTTATTTTTAGCTTGCCATTCAGAAAATTGTTTTAATTTAGATCATATTTATTTGACTTTTTAACAATTATCTTGCTGAAGAATTGTCTTTGAATAATGTACCCATCCTTAATTGTGTATTGTATAACACATACATTATTATAGTTAGCTTCAGTATTTTATGGTCCTACAATTTAGGATTATATTTTATATTTATATAATCTCTTGCATAAAAGATAAGATTCTCAAATATACATATGCTTTTAAGTATATTTCACATTTCAGTGATATACTGAAAGCAAAGGTTTTTAAATAGAATTACATACTGGCTTAGTCCATTTGGGCTGTCATAATAAAATACCTTAGCCTGGCTAATTTATAAAAAACAGAAATTTATTTCTCATAGTTCAAAATGAGAACTGGGCAGTCCAAAATCAAGGCACCAACAATTTGATGAGAGTCCCGTTCCTCCTAGACAGCAGCTTCTCATGGCCTACTTACATGGCAGAAGGGCAAGGGGGCTCACTTCAACCTCTTTTACAAGGCCAGTTGTACTACTGATGGATTTCTGAGTAGTTTTCAGTTGTAGTTTATTATTAAATAGTCTTGCTAATTGAACCTCTGAGCACTCTTTTATCTTGCATAACATCCCAAATCTAAGGACCTTTCAATACTATGAACAAATGTGATGGGAATGTATATCCAGATCAGTTATGAATAAAAGTCTAGATAGTCTGAAAAAACTCGTCACCCTTCCCTTAAATAATCATCTGAAAAACAGGGAACTGGACAAGTTGCGTAAAACATGTCAGCATGTACGCTCTAGTGTGAACTTTTCCAGCTAAACTTTTTGTTATTATCAAGAGTTGAGCTTTTTAAAAATGATAGAATTTTTATAAAACATCTGTATGAATTTTACTTTTTTATGTGTCTGCCATACTTATGGTGGCTAAATACAGTGAATTATGTCTGGTATGTAATGCCCTAAAAAAAAATGAGTTACTTATTTTGTATGCTACATTTATGGCAGTCACATTTAGGGAATTGTCTGTAATAATTTTTTGCACTGTTTGTGATGAAGGTGGTCTCCTTTCATTATGTTTTTTAATTAAAAAGAAGAACTTTGACCATTTAGAAAGAAGGCAGCACAAAGCATCGTAGGGAATTAGAAGAAAGAAAAGATAAGAAAATAAAAATAATATATTTTTACTACCCTCAGATTGCCACTGTAATGTATTAGAGTTTATTTGTGTTCATTGGATTAAGCTGCCTTAAGCTCTAATAGCAAACATCACCAAAATCTCAGTGACTTAACAAAACAGTTTTATTTCTGGCTCATGCAAAGTCAACTGTGAATTTGGGTGACTCTTTGGCACAGTGAACCTCAGTATGGTGGTTACTAAGATCCTGTCCTGTTGTCTGTATTTTAATTAAGTCTTCCTCTATGATTTCTATGGCAAGGAAAGAATATTTCAGCAGAAGTTGCCACAGGTTTCTTCTACTCGCAGTCTGTTTATCCTTTCTGATTGCATGGGCCTGAAAAGTACAACCTTCTGTATGCTTGGAAGGGGAAGCAAACTGGGTGTTGGTGAACATTAGTAATGTCTGCCACAGTATTCCTTCAGAAATTATTCTATGCACATATATACCAAAATAAACTCATTCTGTATATGTTGTTTATGATCTGGTTTTTTAGCATATAATGTATACCTTTCTATATCAGTAAATGTTCCTTTATCCTGTACCCAGTTTGAAAATGTTCTTTACGTAACTGATTAGATCCAAATAAGGGCCCAGTCTAGATCACACATTGCATCTGACTATTTCTCCAAGTCACTTAAAATATAATGCAGTCCTTCAGCCACACCTTCTTCACCTGCACCTTTAAAACTGACTTAATTGAAGACATCAGGCTGGTTAACAGGCAGAATGACTCACTTTCTGGATATACTTGCCTTCTTTCTCAATGTTACTTGAAGTGTTCCTCTTTCCTTTTCATTTCCTGAACATTGGAATTTAAATATAATGGCTTGATTGAGTTAAACATTTTGTTGTTAGAGCACATTGTAGGTAATGTCATGTGCCTCATAATGCATCACATCAAGACACACATGACAATTAGTTGAACAACCATTAGTAATGCTAAGGATGACCACCGGGTTAAGGTGATGACAATCTGCTTCTCATTGGACAGTTGTGCTAGTAGTAGTATCTCATCAACCATTAACCTAATCATTTCCAGAACTAATAATTTCATTAGAGTTGCAGAATGACCAATGTCTAATTCTGTTACTCCTACATTATAATTGACATTCTTCTGTAAAGTACAGCCTTCCTTCATCAACTGAAGCTATTTGGGTATTCTCAAAGGCAAATTTTACAGGAAAGGAAAGAGAAATGCTTAATTTCCTTGTATTTAGTTACCAGTTTTCAAAATAAGGTGTTGCTTTAATAGCTGCCTCAGTGATTAAATGAATTTTTTTACACCTTTAAAATAATATTATGGACTCCTTGTTTTTCTAAGTTAAATGTGTTTCTTTTTCTTTTTTTGGGAGACAGAGTCTCTGTCACCCAGGCTGGAATGCAGTGCCACAGTCTTCACTCACTGCAACTTCTGTCTCCCAGGTTCAGCCCAGCTCAGCCTCCTGAGTAGCTGGGACCACAGGCATGTGCCACCACACCCAACTAATTTTTGTATTTTTTGTAGACAGAGGGTCTCACCATGTTGCCCAGGTTGGCCTCGAATTCTTGGGCTCAGGCAATCTGCCTGCTTTGCCCGCAGTACTGAGATTATAGGTGTAAGCCAGCTTCTTTCTTTCTTTCTTTCTTTTTTTTTTTTTTTTTTGAGATGGAGTCTCGCTCTGTCGCCAGGCTGGAGTGCAGCGGTGTGATCTCGGCTCACTGCAACCTCCGCCTGCTGGGTTCAAGGGATTCTTCTGCCTCAACATCCCAAGTAGCTGGGACTACAAGTGCCCGCCACCATGCTCAGCTAATTTTTGTATTTTTAGTAGAGATGGGATTTCACCATGTTGGCCAGGCTGGTCTCAATCTCCTGACCTCAGATGATCCACCTGCCTCGGTGTCCCAAAGTGCTGGGTTTACAGGTGTGAGCCACCGCTCCCGGCCTCGCCCACCCTGTTTCTATGTTCTATTTTCTCCCCCTCTCGGTTTTAAAATGCTGAATTTGTCACAAGGATTAATACATCCTTTGGGTTTATTAAAAAGCTTTTTATAAAAATTTTATATATAGAAAACAACACAAATCATAAGTTTACAGCTCCATGATTTTTCACACATGAAATACATCTATATAACCACTACCCTGAATGAGAAACAATCTTATGAACACTCCAAACACTGTCCCCAAAAAGGTTGATCAGTTTTTCAGAATTCTAGCAGCATAATTTAGTTGTGCCTCTTTTTGCATGTTATATGAATGATAAGCATGTGTTCTTACATGTCTGGTTTTTTTTTCACTCCATATTATGTTTGTGAGAACCTTCTATATTGTTGGGTATACTTTTCATTTTTCCCTCTACTGCTAGACATTTGGATGGTTTGCAGTTTGGGAATATTTAGGAGTAGTACCTCTGGGTTATATGTTTTGGAAAACACAGGTCTTCGTTTCTTTGGGGTATATACCTAAGAGTACTATTGCTGCTCACAGAGTGAGCATATTTGTATCATTAGTAGATACTGCCAAATGGTTTTGCATAGTGCTGGTGCCAATTTATTCTTTCACCAGAATTATATGAGGCCTCTGTGTTCTACTTTCTCTCCAACACTTTATTTTGTAATCTTTTTTCGAGACTGAGTGTTGCTCTGTCGTCCAGGCTGGAGTGCAGTGGTGCGTTCTCGGCTTGCTGCAACCTCCACCTCCTGGGTTCAAGCAATTCTCCTGCCTCAGCCTCCCTAGTAGCTGGGATTACAGGCACCCACCAGCACACCCGGCTAATTTTTGGTTTTTTAGTAGAGACGGGGTTTCACATGTTGGTCAGGCAGGTCTTGAACACCTGACGTCAAGTAATCTGCCCGCTTTGGCCTCCCAAAGTGTTGGGATTATAGCCGTGAGCCACCGCACCCAACCTTTTTAAATCTTTTCAATTTGAGCAGGTTTTTTGGGTGTTAAGTGATATTAAATTGTGGTTTTAATTTTTTATTTCATTGATAGCTATGACATTCAACATCTTTTCCATGGTTTATTGGCCGTGTTTATACTTCCTTGTGAAGTACCTATTCCAGATCTTGCCTGTTCTTCCGTTGGGTTGACCAACTTTTTTTTCATTATTTGTAGAATTTAAAAAGTATATTATGGTTGTAACTCACTTGTCATGTGTGGTGTGTATATGTATGTCTTACAAATACGTTCTCCTATTCTGTGGCTGACCTTTTCACTCTTGTGTTTTTTGATAAACAGATATTCTTTATTTTTTCATATATATATATATATAGAGAGAGAGAGAGAGAGAGACGGAATCTCGCCCTGTCGCCCAAGCTAGAGTGCAATGGCGCAATCTGGGCTCACTGCAAGCTCCGCCTCCCAGGTTCACGCCATTCTCTTGCCTCAGCCTCCCAAGTAGCTGGGACTACAGGCGCCCACCACCAAGCCCGGCTAATTTTTTTGCATATTTTTAGTAGCGACAGGTTTCACCAGGTTAGCCAGGATGGTCTTGATCTCCTGGCCTCGTGATCCGCCTGTCTCCGCCTCCCAAAGTGCTGGGTTTAGAGGCGAGAGCCACCGTGCCCAGTCAATACTTTTCTTTATGGTTAGTATTTTGTGTCCTGTTTAAGAAATCTTTGCCTATCCTAAAGTCATAAAAGTATTTTTGGCCAGGCGCCGTGGCTCAGACCTGTAATCCCAGCACTGTGGGAGGCTGAGGTAGGCGTCTGAGGTGGGTGGATCATGAGGTCAAGAGATCAAGACCATCCTGGCCAACATGGTGAAACCTCATCTCTACTAAAAATACAAAAATTAGCTGGGCTTGCTGGTGTGCACCTGTAGTCCCAGCTGCTTGGGAGACTGAGGCAGGAGAATGGCTTGAACCTGGGAGGCGAAGGTTGCAGTGAGCCGAGATTGCGCCACTGCACTCCAGCCAGGGCGACAGAGCAAGATTCTGTCTCAAAAAAAATATATATATATACACACACACACATAAATTTTCTTGTGTTTTCTTCTGAAACCTTGTTTTGCCTTTTACTCTTATATCTGCTATTCATCTAGAATAGATTTGGTTGTGTGGTGTGTGGCAGAAGTCCTGACTTTTAAAAAATACACTTATCCAGTTGACTCAGCACCATTTATTGAAAAGATCTTTATCATAAGTGAGATGTATATATGGATCTGTTTCTAGACACAGTATTTTTTATTTATTTATTTTTTGAAATGGAGTTTCGCTCTTGTTGCCCAGGCTGGAGTGCAGTGGCGCGATCTTGGCTCACCACAACCTCTGCCTCCCAGGTTCAAACGATTCTGTTGCCTCAGCCTCCCTAGTACCTGGGATTACAGGCATGTGCCACCATGCCCAGTTAATTTTGTATTTTTAGTAGAGATGGTTTTCTCCATGTTGGTCAGGCTGGTCTTGAACTCCCGACCTCAGGTGATGCACCCACCTCGGCTTCCTAAAGTGCTGGGATTACAGGTGTGAGTCACCATGCCCGACCAGATACAGTATTTTGTTCCACTGGTATATTTGTCTATCGTTGCTCTAATAGTACACTGGCTAAATTTTTGCAGCTTTATAAACTTAATATTAGGTAGTATAAATCCTCCAACCTTGTTCTTCTTAATATTGTTGGCTTGGCTATTCTTGACATGTTATATTTCTATATGAATTTTAGGATCAGCTTATCTACAAAAAAAATTTTAAAAGAGAAAAACATGGTGGGATTGCAGTGAATATATGGAACAATTTAGGGTGAATTGGGTCTTTGTTGAGTTTCCAAGCCATGACATCTTTTTGTGGTTATTCTAATATGAACATCAATTCTTGGTTTTTGTCATTCGGTACTGGATTCACATGCTTTATAGTTTTTCTGGACGCTGGAGATTGTAAATTTGAAAAATTGCATAGGCTGTAGATTATATCAAATTATATATTTTTCCAGGGTTTATTTGTTCTTCTGTTTAGCATTTGAGTGGAGCACAGATAGCCTTAATTGAGTTAAGGTCAAATCTGGATCAAGGCTGTATTACAGTTTGGGTAAGACCTCTCTTTTGCCCTGATTTTAGGGCATATTCTTCCGGGGCTTTCAGTTGAGAGCCTGGTGTGTTCACTTAACCACCACCTCATCGGGTCCTAAAATCTCAAGAATACAAAGCCTTCCACTCTGATTTTCAGAGGTCTTCAGCTTACCTTTCACCTTTCACACCTCCTGATTTTAGAATTCAGCAGATGTCGTGAGGTAAAGCTAGCCATGTGTTTGAAGCCCTTCAGGTCTTCTATTTTTTTTTCACTCCAAACCCCTTAGATGCTAAGTGATCAGCTGGTTTCTCTGTCGTTTATTTGGGGCCCTCTGTCTGATTCAGACTCAATTTTTTCATCCTTTACTTTTTCCTGGAATCAGCAAATGCCTCCAGGGAAGAAAAGCTATAGTTTACCAGCTCACTTCCTAGCAATTACTCCTTCTCCAGATTCTTGGCTCCATCTGTTCTTGTTGCTTCAGCAGCTCTCTGTCTGATGCCTTTAAACAGATGGTGCTTTTCTTGTATTTCATCAAGATTTTCTTGTTCTTAATGTGAGCATTGATCTCTAACACAGTGTTTCATCTTAACCGGAACTGGAAATTTGCATTATTCTCCACCATTGCTCAAGTTCCTCTAGTGGGGCCTCACAGCTCAACATTAGGGGAAAAAATATTGAGAAAGAATTTAGAGTATTTCAGATTGATTGATCATAAAAAGGAAACAAAATGAGTGATACCTAGGAAAGTTATATGATTTACAGAAGGTTACACAGCAGAATTATAGCTGCCACTCAGCCATTCCATTAAACCTGGGGTACTGACTATATAAGATGCTTCTGTGTACAGAAGCTAGAGAATCTTTGGTAAGCAACATAGAACTCTAGGATTTAAGCTCTTATCTGTGATCAACAATATGATGTTGAGTGCTTAGAATCTTGAAGTCTCAGGTTTATTTAAACTGATTATTTAATTGTAGTAGCCTGTTTTTACCTTCTTACCTCCATTTTATTTGTTAACATTTGTTCCTATTCCTTTATGAGGCACCCTTGAATCCCCTATGCAATGTATATAAGATGGTTCATTTTTTCTTTTTAATAACAGTTTAACTTCTAGTAGTTACTATGAATCAGTTTTAGACTCCTAATCTCAGGATTTGTACAAAGTATTATACAAAATTTATAATGTTAACCTTTTGTTGTAATACTTTGTGAATTTCTATAATTAAATTATATTTTCTTTAGTTAAGTATTACACCTTTTAATGAAAATATTTGAATAGAGGTTAATTTTTGTCCCAATATTAAAACAAATATAATCTAGATAATTGACATTAATATATCAAAAACTAATCTGTCTTATAAGATTACTGAGAAAGTAATGAACACTGTCACCTTGATTGTCATGTGATGAACTGCAGGTATTGGTTAATAATAATCATACATTTTCAGTCTTGATTTGACAAAAGCAATAAAGTATATTTTCTCTCAATATAGGAAAGAATTATTCCATATTTATTACGACTGAGACAAACTAAGGATGAAACTCTTCAGGCTGCAGTTAGAGAAATTTTGGCCCTAATTGGCTACGTGGATCCAGTGAAAGGGAGAGGAATCCGAATTCTCTCAATTGATGGTGGAGGAACAAGGTAAGGCTAGGAACATGATTCTTTTTTCTTTTTTTTTTGAGATGGAGTTTCCCTCTGTTGACCAGGCTGGAGTGCAGTGGCACAATCTCAGCTCATTGCAACCTCCGCCTCCCAGGTTCAAGTGATTCTCCTGCCTCACCCTCTCAATTAGCTGTGATTACAGGCTCCCGCCACCACACCCAGCTAATTTTTGTAGTTTTAGTAGAGATGGGGTTTCCCCATTTTGGCCAGGCTGGTCTCAAACTCCTGACGTCAGGTGATCTGCCTGCCTTGGCCTCCCAAAAGTGCTAGGATTATAGGCACGAGCCACCACACACAGCTGGAACATGGTTCTTAAAAACTACAGATTCAATTCAGCTTTAGAAATTAAAAAAAATGATTTGATATATCATTATAAAATCAAATTTTTTAAATAAAACATGAAATTGTTTTAATTAATCTAAGTGCTACTCTGACATATACTTCAATTCTTACTTTGCTTTGATTTAGTATTTATATTTTCGTATTTTATTTTATTTTATTTTAGTATTTCTATTTTTATATTTGGCCTTTTTAGACCTTTTTGGTAGTGCAGAAGCTTATCAACCATTATTCTCATAAAATCTTGACAGTGTTTTATAATTTTAGCTTTCTTTTATTATTTTATTTTATTTTTTTGGAGATAGAGTCTTGCTCTGTTGCCCAGGCTGGAGTGCAGTGGCGCAATCTCATATCACTGCCACCTCTGCCTCCCAAGTTCAAGCAGTTCTCCTGTCTCAGCCTCCCAAGTAGCTGGGATTATAGGTGTCTGCCACCATGCCTGGCTAATTTTTTGTATTGTTAGTAGAGACGTGGTTTCACCATGTTGTCTAGGCTGGTCTTGAACTCCTAACCTCAGATAAACCACCTGCCTCAGCCCCCCAAAGTGCTGGGATTACAGGCGTGAGCCACCGCGCCCAGCCAGCTTTCTTTGATTACACTTATCTTACCCATATATATCCACTAGTCACTTGATAAAGTGATGGTTGCAAAATGAGGCTATATTAACTTCCTGACTTCTGATGTCTTCACTTGGAGATGCCAGTTCTGGTGCTATATAAGAAATAAATTCATTCTTTGTTCAGAAGGAGATAATTTCACTATTAAGCTCTATTTTTACTACTGGCAATCCATCCATGCTTCCTACTCAAGTCTTTGTTTATCTAGTTCCTTCCAACTTATTGATTAGATTTTTTGGCTTGGTTTTTCAAACCTTTTCCCCAAAATCTTCTAGCTCATTCTCTAGTTCCCTGCCATCCCTACTGCTACCTCATAATTCATAGTACATGCCCTGCCTATTGTTCTTAGCTTTAACTTACCTCCCTGATTTTGCTTTTTGGTATACCCAACTTGCCAACCACTCTTCTGTATGTTCAAGTACTACCCTGTATCTTTTTGTTAAATTCCTTGGTTCTCTATTCACCCGAGTCCTTTATACTTTAACATCAATATGAAGGAAGGAGTAAATAATGAGAGAAGGAAGCTAACCTCAGATGGTGGCAGTGGAAGGCAGGAGGAAGGAAAAACATACCAGTAACTTTTTTTGAGGTGGAGTTTTGCTCTTGTTGCCCAGGCTGGAGTGCAGTGACATGATCTCGGCTCACTGCAACCTCCACCTCCCAGGTTCAAGTGATCAGTTCCCCCGCTGCAGCCTCCCAAGTAGCTGGGATTATAGGCATGCACTACCACACCCGGCTACTTTTGTATTTTTAGTAGAGACGGGGTTTCACCATGTTGGCAATTCTGGTCTCAAGCTCCTGACCTCAGGTAATCCACCCACCTCAGCCTCACAAAGTGGTGGGATTACAGGTATGAGCTACCACGCCCAGCCAGTACCAGTAACTTTTAAGAAACATGGAGACAGGATATGGTAGACATAGGTCAAGATCACTCTAAGTGTAAACCTGTGTGTGACTGGGACAGAATTGCAGGGAATCTCAACAGATTGGTGTTGAGGAAAGACACTTTTTTCTTGAACATATTTAATGTAAGATTATATCCATACAGAAGTGCTCAGTTGTCAAAAGCCCACTGAAGAGAGAACAATCTTAAAAGATCTTAGAGGATGTTTCTTAAGAAAGTGAATAATGTTAAGAAGGTGTATGTCATTCATGTGATATAGATACAGTGATAACTGGAGAGATTATTCTAGTTCATATAATTGGTTCCAAATGGTGAGAAATAAGGAAAATGGCAGTTAAATGAGTAGAAGCATTTCACTAAGGAGCAGAAGGAATCCTCTCTGCCATTAAGTTGAGGGGAATTGCGACAGGTAGTGTCATTCATTGAGTCAGCTAACAGACATTGGGTGCCTACTATGTTGTAAGCCCTGATTTAGATCCTGGGGACGGTGAGCAAACAAAACAATACAGTGTTTGCATTGTAGAGGAGGAAAAAGACAACAAATAGAAAAACAAAAATATGTTATTCTGGGTGCTATGGAGAAAAATAAAGCAAAGTAAAGGGATAGAGAGGAAGAGTACTATTTTAAAGAATGCTCAGGACCAAGACTTCTTTTTAAAGAAGTTATATTTATGTAGAGATAGGAAGGAAGAAAATTAAAGAACATTCAGATGTCTGTTTAAGGTCAGACAAGCATGATGAAAAAGAAGTTTGTATAATAAATAGTTTATCTTGTAGAATAAGAGTTGTATTAGTCATATAAGGAGGAAATCAGTGTGAGGTAATTTGGGAAAATCTAGGGGTGGGTTAGGATGAAGTTAGGTTTAGATTTGTAATTCTCCACTGGAGGTGATTTTGCCCCCTAAAGGACATTTGGCAGTATCTGGAGACATTTTTGGTTGTCATAACTAGGGCACTGCCACTTTCATCTAGTTTGAAGAGGACAGTTGTGACTAAACATGATACAGTGCACAGGACAGCCCCGCAAAACAAAGGTTATCCAACCCAGAATGTCAGCAGTGCTGCTGTTGAGAAAACTTGGTTTAGGGGAATATGGGAAAGCAGCCTGAATGGGAGGTTTGTGTGAAAAGCAGTAATGTATGAGGGCTTGAGAGAAAAAATAAAAAACCCTATCTTTTACTTCTTTGGTATAAGAGAACCTACAGTGGTAGGCATAGACAGCTGTGGCAACTTGGCAAATACATATGTATTTACATTCATTCAGAATTTATGAACACAACATTTTAAATAGTTAATTTTCCCAATTATACGAGTAGTTAGAAAAACCTGAGAGAGAAAAAAATCCCTAAAACCATAGCTCACAACTCTTAAGATTATTTTAGTATTTTGATTAATTTTCTTCTAATATTTTTCTTTGTGAACATATATGTGCCTATTTTATTTCCTTTTTGTGATAATAGAGGTCATTGTTAAATATATTGTATCCATTACATTTAATTCATCATCTTGCCTTGAATTAATAATGTATCTCTTTCATAAGACATCTTCTTAACTCTCCTCAAATCCACATAATTTATTGTATTTAAAAGATCAGCATCTTTGGTTTTCTACTTTAATCTTACAGAATTTTCTAGTTACTTCCTGTTAACATTATCAAGACACAATTTGACACTCTAAATTTTTTGGTGCCTAACTACCTTTGTGTTCCAGGACTTACCTACCCCCTACCTTGTGTTGGCAATAGAGCTTTTCATCATTTTTTTGTATTCTCCCACTGTTAAAAATTGTCATGATACACACATGACAGTTTGCATGGTACGTACACCCTCAATTGGTCTATATCTCCTAAGCTTTTTCATCGTTTCGCGTTCCTTCGTGAAGCTATTAACTGCTGTTGGCAAGGATTCAGAAATGAGCAAAGTCAGCAATATTAATTAATATACCATTAATGTAGAGGATTATCCTAAAGTTATTGAAAGTTTTTAAAAATGAATAAAGAAAAGGGAGCTTAAAAATCTGACTGGTGGCCAGGCACGGTGGCTCGCGCCTGTAATCCTAGCACTTTGGGAGGCCGAGGTGGGCGGATCATGAGGTCAGGAGATCGAGACCATCCTGGCTAACACGGTGAAACCCTGTCTCTACTAAAAATAAAAAAAATTTTTAAAAAATTAGCCAGGCGTGGTGGCGGGCGCCTGTAGTCCCAGCTACTCGGGAGGCTGAGGCAGGAGAATGGTGTGAACCCAGGAGGTGGCACTTGCAGGGAGTCCAGTGAGCCACTGCACTCCAGCCTGGGCAGGCTCAAAAAAAAAAAAAAAAAATCTGACTGGTGAAATATGTAAGTTAAAAATGTATAGAGTCATAGGTGACCAACTATATTAGTAAGAGAATAAACCAAGGTATGGCATTCCAAAACCAGTGAGTGAGTTTTTAAGTGTTCTCCAGAGTTGTTTGGCTTTTTTCAATTTTATATTGGCATATCTTTGTATTCTTCTTTAGTTGTTTGTTGGTTTTTGGCATTCTTAAGAAGCGTATTTGGGCAGATTTCTTCTTCTTTTTACTTTTTTTTTCTGTAGAAATGGGGTCTCGCTCTATTGTTCAGCTGGTCTTGAACTCCTGGCCTCAAGTGATCCTCTTACCTCAGCCTCCCAAAGCTCTGGGATTACAGGAAAGAGCCACTGCCTGACGAGATTTATTCTTATCTAAAGAGATACTGTTTTGCAGAAGGATGGGTTCAGTGAAAAAACAAGAGAGAGACACTTGTATAAATTTTAAAATGTGCTGCCATAGTGTAGGTTTTGTATCATTTAGATACTAGATTTTCAAAAGTAATCCTAAAAATTTGGACAGGCAATTTTTACTGATTCTGATTTATATTTTTAATTTTCATGTTAGCATATGAACTACAAAAGCAATTCTTAGATTGTTTTATTCAACGACTTAAATTATTTTTTCTTTAAACAAGAATTGTCATTTTGCCTTTAATCTTTTCTATAGGGGCGTGGTTGCTCTCCAGACCCTACGAAAATTAGTTGAACTTACTCAGAAGCCAGTTCATCAGCTCTTTGATTACATTTGTGGTGTAAGCACAGGTAATTATTATATGGAAGTGGTGCATTCTGGCAGTACATTAAGGAAGAGAACATTAAGTACTTATGTTTAAGATCATAGTCCTTTGCCTCCTCTAGCCCTCTCTCCATACCCCAAAATTTTCTCCTCCCGTTTCTCTTTTGTTCATGGTTATGCCATTTAGGCACACTAGGTGGCAGTGTGTCCTACCAATTATAGCTAGATATGGAATCAGCTGTTTAAAAGGACGTCCAAGAGTACCTAATATCTTTAATTACATTGGTTCCTAGGACTAACTTGAAGGAGAATCGCTTAGTGACTTGGTGAGTTGTCAAATATACCATATTTTAAGACTAAAACTAAGTAATTTATTGATGTTAGAAAGAACGTGAGTTATCTACCATATCTTATATATAATTTAATGTAAAACACATTTGTAAATATTTTTAAATTACTATTTTCATTATTTAATCCTTTTTGAGCATTCATTTAATCCTTTTTGAGACCTAGTAAATTCCTTTACATTTGTTAACCCAGTACAAGAGACATGAATTTTAGTTTTTCTTATTACTCCCATTTTACACGTGAAAAAAATGGGGCTCTGAGAAGGAAAGTCATTTGTCCCAGGTGACATAGCTAGAAAGTATCAACTCTAAATTTAAGCCAAAACTATGATTCAGGAGATCTTATCAGCATAAGGGCTATAACTTAACACTGATAAAAACTAAGAATTCTTTTTTCCAGGTGCCATATTAGCTTTCATGTTGGGGTTGTTTCATATGCCCTTGGATGAATGTGAGGAACTTTATCGAAAATTAGGATCAGATGTATTTTCACAAAATGTCATTGTTGGAACAGTCAAAATGAGTTGGAGCCATGCATTTTATGACAGTCAAGCATGGGAAAACATTCTTAGGTAAGTTACAATTACTCTTTTTAAATGTTCTAATTATATAGGTAGTGTGTGCATATTATAATTTCAAAAATAAGAATATTAAGTTATATTCTTGCATAATTTGAAAAACATCAAGAATATTAAATTATTCTACTAATTACAGATAACCACTGTTAGTATTTTGGTGAATCATAGTTTAATAATTGTTTTGGGGGGTTCATGTGTGTGAGATTTGCATGTAAAAGTTACAATTGCCTTTTTTTAAAAATATGAGATATTTTCATCCTGTTGTTTTTACTTAACATATTAAATGTGTCTCAAGTCATTCTAAAATATTCAGTTATTTTTATTTTTATTTATTTTTTGACACACGCTGTCACTCCCGTTGCCCAGGGTAGAGTACAGTGGTACTGTCTTGGCTCACTGCAGCCTCAACTTCCCAGGCTCAAGTGATCCTCCCACCTCAGCCTCCCAAGTAGCTGGGACCACATGTGTGCACCACCATGCCCAGCTAATTTTTTCTATTTTTAGTAGAAACAGGATTTCACCGTGTTGCTCAGGCTCCTAACCTCAAGTGATCCGCCTGCCTCCCAAAGTGTATATAAGCATACAATATAAGCATAAAATCATCCACAATCCTATTATTCAGAGCTGTAGACTTTAATATATTTCCTTCTAGTTTTTTATTAGACCATAAACATTTTGTATAGCTGAGATTAGATTGTAGTTGTAAATTTGTATCCTTTTCCTTTTTCCAAACATTCTTAAAATCTCCTGACTTATTTTTAAAGACTACACTATACTCCAGAGTGGGATGTTACATTTTCTTAATCATTTCCATTTAGGATTTTTATGGACATTTAGGACATTTATGTTCCTAATTTTTTGGGATTATGAATGATGCTGTCATAGAAAACTTTAAATTTCTTCTCACATTTCAGAATATATCAGTAGGTCACTATATAAGAAGCATATTTATTGGGTCTAATGTTGATGTCTTCTTAAAATAATTATTACATAGGAAATAGAAAATATATCAAGAAAACAATAAAAATAATTTATAATCCCACTAAGAACAAAAGCACTATTAACATGGTGATGTATTTTTTCCTGTAATTTCTTACAGATAGACAAGTGTATATGTGTGTAGTTGTGAGTGTAGGTGTATCCATCCTCTTTACAAAATTCAGATAATGCACATGTAGTCTTGAGTCCTGCATTTTCACTTAGCATTTTATCACAGATGATTTCCTATGTCAGTTAATATGTTTTGAAACATATATTAATGGTTCTTCACCATTTTATGGATGTACTATTTTTTATTTAACAAATCCTCTTTTAGAAAAAGATAAGGTAATTTTCTAGAAGTAAAATTTTGGGTCAGAGGATATGCGTGTTTTAACAATCTTGATACATACATAGCTGAATTTGTTCTTCAATACAGTGGTTTTAGGTTACTCATCCAGCAACATCAACATGTATTTCTGTTTCATGAAATACTCGTGAACACCAGACACTTAATGTTTAAAATGACATTAGTTTGAGAGATTTTGAAACTCATGTTTCAATTTGTATCACTTTCATTATTGATGAGTTTGAACTTAGTTTTGGTTTTTGATGGCTTTTTATTATTTTTTTTGTGAATTTTGAGGGCATAATTTTTGCCTATTTTCTCATGGGATATTCCTCAATGTGTTGTAAATATATTAACCATATATTGAAAAAGTGCTTTCTAAGTAATAATTTTTTAATGTAGAGCATTGAAACATCTTCATTTAGCCAAATCTTTTCCTTTAAAGATTTTTAACTTTTATGTTTGTAAGTCTTTCCTACAATCCTACTACTGGGTATATACCCAAAGGAAAATAATTCATTCCGTCAAAAAGACACATGCACTCATGTGTTCATCATAGCACTGTTCACAATGGCAGATACAAGGAATAAACCCAGGTGCCCATCAACAGTGGATTGGATAAAGAAAATGTGGTACATATACATTGTGGAATACTATGCAGCTATAAAAAAAATGAAATCATGTCCTTTGCAGCAACATGGTTGGCACCGAAGGCCATTATAATAAGCAACCTAACACGGAAAGATAAAGCCAAATACCACATGTTCTTTCTTACAAGTGAGAGCTAAACGTTGAATGTACATGAACATAAAGATGGGAACAGTTGACGCTGGAAACCATTAGACGGGAGGGAGAGTGGGGATGTGAGCTGAAGAACCACTTGTTGGGTATCATGCTTACTGCCTAGGTGATAGGATTGTTGGGACCCCAAGCCTCAGTGACACACAGTTTACCCATTAACAAACCTGCATACATACTCTTTATACTAAAAGTTTAAATTAAAAAAAAGATAAGTCTTTTCTACCTTGAAGGTAGGTAAATATTTGTATTATTTCCTAGTTCTAAAGTTTTCAGTTTATATGTAATTCTGAAGTTACCTAAAACTTATTGTGATATATGTTGTAAGGTAATCAAGCTTTATTTTTTTAATCAAATGTTAATCCTAATGTCCCAGCTCCCTTTACCAAGTTTTTTTTTTTTTTAACTGATTCGAAACATCATCTTTATCATATTTGAAATTCTTATCTATATTAGAATCTATGTTCAAGTTTTTGGTTTCTCTATGGATTTATTTTTGTACAAATTCTGCAAATTTAGTTGTTGAACCTTTGCATAATATTTTTATAATGATATAGCATAGCAAATCTTTTCTCCTTATTCTTCTTTTACACAATTTTCATTTAATATTCAAAGTTAATCTTAGGCTACTTTTATCACATAAAAAAATATTCCACTGATATTTGGATGGAAATTACATGGAACGTATCACTTATTTTGTGGAACATTGACATCTTTCCAATCGTGGAATCTTCCCATCCATTATCATTGTATGTTACTTATTTTCACATCTTTTGTGTCTATTAGAAAATATAGTTCACCATCCTGGCTAACAGGGTGAAACCCCATCTCTACTAAAAATACAAAAAAAAAAATTAGCCGGGCATGGGGGCAGGCATCTGTAGTCCCAGCTACTCGGGAGGCTGAGGCAGGAGAATGGCATGAACCCAGGAGGTGGAGCTTGCAGTGAGCCGAGATCACAGCAATGCACTCCAGCCTGGGCAACAGAGTGAGACTCCGTCTCAAAAAAAAAAAAAAAAGAAAAAAAAATATATATATAAAAAATTAATATCTATTCCCAGATTCATTTGATCAATACTTTTTATTAAGATTATTTAATGAAAATTTAAAAATTTATTCTAAAACCAGTTTCTCTACTATGAAATTTTTTTCCTTTTGTTACTTATGAGAGTATCTTTGCATATTTGTGTATTGCTGTCTCATTTTTACTCTTCTAGAAACTTCTTTATTTTTAATCCTAACACTGATAAATTTTATCAGTGTGGTTAGTTGTTTTTCTTTCTCTGCTTTTTCAAATTCAGCCTTTGCTGCAGAATAAGCCACTCCAAAACTTAGTGGCTTAAAGCAATGATTATTTAGTCTCATGACTTTGTGGTTTGACTGGGTGTTTCTTCTGTTCTTGACTGAGCTCACTTGGTGACTCAGCTAATGGGCCTGGGAAGTCTCTCTCTCCACCTGGTCATTCTTACCCAAGCTTTGTCTCATCATTGTGGTTTCAGAGTTCCCAGAGGGCAAGCCCCAGTGGATAAGCACTTATCAAGCCTCAGTTTAATGGCATGTTTGCTGAGGTCACATGGACTGAAAGCCACGCCAACCGAGAGTCTGTAGGAAGAGACTATATACAACGACATGGATACCAGGACTATGATTCACTGGGTGCCATTATTGTTAATATTCTTCTCTACCTACCTTCTGACCTTTTTTGTCATAGCATTTTTTTTCCCTCATTGTTTATTGAGAGGATTTTTTTTTTCCTGTGATAATTTTGTGTTATTTTAAGGGAACTATTTTATGGCATCAGTAGAATCTAGGCATGTTGATTTTTTTTTTTCATATTTTGGCATCTCAGAAATAAACAATTACCATTACTTTCTTTACAAATTTATATTCATAAGTTAATTCACTGAAACCTTTTTAGCTTTTGATAAAATCAAGATTTAAACAAAAATAAAAATAAATAAGTATGAACTTTGCCAAAAAGTGTGAAAGCAGCATGCTCCTAGGATTTCTCATGTAATTTTACAGTAAGAATTCTATGAAAAGACAAAGAACCTTAAAAAGATAAAATGCATGGATCTTCATGTGGTAGAAATCTATAGATAAGGTTGGGGAAGACAAAAGATCTTGTCGATTTTGGAAAGTACTTTACATTGATATTTATTAAAGCTTATAAAGGGTAGATCACTAAGCAGTTTGTAAATATTCTTTTTATGAAATTCACTAATATTCTAATTGAGAAACATGAGTATTGTTTGAAAAACACATTAGAAAATGGTTTTACTCATGAGGAAGGTTGGTGAAACCATACATAGCCTTTGTATTCAATATAGGGAAAATACATAATTTTTAAGTCTGGAAAAGTCTGCATTGAAATAAAATTCTCTTACTATGGAATTGCAAAAATTGCTGCCCAAGGACAATTTCTGTAATGTCATAGTAATTCAAATGCCAACTCTGATGATTTTCAAAGCAGTTTTCTTGATGACATTGGCTCTTACCAACTAAAACAAGCTTCAAGTCTCATTGTCCTCACCTGGTTACTCTAACTAGCCCATGCATACTTCTGCAGTCTTATCTCAACACAGCTCCTTTATCCTATTGGCAGGACCCTGAAAACAACAGATTTCTTTTGCCTTTGTGCCTTTAATCTGTATACGTCCTCGCTTTAAATATGTTGCCTTGAAGTCTTTCAGTGTCTTCCTCAAGCTAATTTCCTGCATCTTTTCCAGTTACTGTCCCTCTATTGATTGCTCCACTTCAGAACTATAGATACTTGCAGTTTGAATCAGAGGTTGATAAATAACTGCATATTGTTTCATGTGCATTAATGGGATTATAAGCCTCCTAGAGGAGAGTCTTACATTTTTTCCCTCATAGCACTTTGACGAAGCCATGGACAAACAATAATTGCATACTGTATGTTTCCTGGTTGTTAGGAGATAAAGTCATTTTGATATAACCTATTTTTTCTCCTTTAATAAAGGGATAGAATGGGATCTGCACTGATGATTGAAACAGCAAGAAACCCCACATGTCCCAAGGTAAGCTTAGAGTCTCTTAAATATAACACCTAGTTCCATCTGAAGGTGTGGTGAAAGCACTTGTCCTGAGGGCCCTTTTATTTGATTTTATTTTTTTATTTTTTGAGACGGAATTTCACTCTTATTGCCTGGCTGGAGTGCAATAGCGCAATCTTGGCTCACCGCAACCTCCGTCTCCCATGTTCAAGTGATTCTTCTGCCTCAGCCTCCCGAGTAGCTGGGATTACCGGCATGTGCCACCACACCTGGCTAATTTTTTTGTATTTTTAGTAGAGATGGGGTTTCTCCATGTTGGTCAGGCTGGTCTCAAACTCCCAACCTCAGGTAATCTGCCCACCTCGGCCTCCCGAAGTGCTGGGATTACAGGCATGAGCCACTGTGCCCGGCCCTGAGGGCCCTTTTATTAAGGTATTATAGATTAATTAATTCTTTATATATTGAGTCATTCTATGAAGAGATAGGATATGATCCTTATACCTTTTCTAAATCCAGTAAGACTATAACAGAAATGGAAGAACATGAAAGTCAGACTGAAAATAAGGAAGAATTATTTCATCATAATTTAAAAAATCAAATTTAGTGATTTAAGGAACATTATGACATTTCTTACCCTAGATTTTTAAAGAGAAATTTTATATGCCTCTTAGATACATATAATACAATCATGCATCACTTAATGGGAATACATTCTCAGAAGTGTGTCATTAGGTGATTTTGTCATTGTGCAAGTATTATAGAGTATACCTAGACATGCTTAGATGGTATAGCCCATTACACATGTAGACTACATGGTGTAGCCTATAGCTCCTAGGCTATAAACCTGTACAGCAGGTGACTATACTGAATACTGTAGGCAATTGTGGCACAATGGTAAGAATACTTACGTATCTACAGATATACAAATATCTAAATAAAAAATATCTATAGAAAAGATACAGTAAAAAATACAGCATAGAAGCCCCTTTATAGTCTTATGGGACCACTGTTGTATATGCGGTACATCATTGACCAAAACATTGATATGCAGTGCATGACTATATTAGATTATATTGTTATACAAATTGAATCCCCAGTAAAATTTTAATGTCACTTAGATGTGTCTCAGTGTGACTCTTCATTTATTTTTTTGTTTGAAACCCGATGATCTGAGTATTGCTTGAGTTCTGTTTAATTTACTTGTTTAAAGAATAGAATTTATGTGCCTAGAAATTTCATGCAGCTTGTATTTATTCTCAGATAACAAACTGTAACCGTGAAAAATCAAACAAGTGCAGCTCCTTCTATTGCTGTTTATGGCATACTCATACTTTGATTCATTCTGCAAGTATTAATTATGCACCCACTGCTAGGCACTTTGGATTCATTTGTGGGCAAATGCAGACATGGGGTTTATAGCTCTGTAGGGCAGCAAAGGTATTAATGAAATAATCACAAAGATGACATGTCATAGTTTCCCTGAAATACATAAGTGCTATGAAGCATAAAAGCAGTTTTCTGAAAGCATATTTTTAAAGGGACGTGAGGGACAGCTACTTTAAGGAAGTGAGATTTGAGATGTCAGTGTGAAGGCCATTGAGTAGGAGCATTCCTGGCAAAGGGAATGACCTGTGCAGGAAGAGTCATAGAGAATTCCACTAAATGATAGAGTTCTTGAAGACTAGTGCCTCAGAATCCGAGGGCCTCACGTGAGATGAGGCTGGAGCAGTAGGCCAATTAGATCAGACGCAGGGCCTCAGAGGCTGTGATGAAGAGATGACTTAGCTCTTTTGGAGAGGACACTAGGGTGCACTCTATGCCTCTTGCTTGTTCCCCTGTATCTCCAAGGCTCCTTGTTTGTTTGCTTGGTTTAAATCATGGAAGTTGTCAGTTTTGAATAAAATTTGTGGAGAACTTTAGCCATCTTAAGAAGTAAATAATCATGATAAATGGAGAGCCACTCATATGTTTTCTTAATCCAGCCATATTTATATTCCAATTATAGAAAGACTCTGGATTTTAGTGTATGGCCAATGCCTATCCATAGTGGCCTAGAGACACACTTGGATTACTCACAGGAATTTGGCATGTGACCTTTGTTTATTAAATACCAAAACAATTGGCAGGACTTGGCATAGCACACTAACTTTTGCCTCATCAATACCTGTCAGCCTCTTAAGTTTGTATTACAGATCATTAACAAAACAGCACATTTCATGTCAATTTAACCAACAATGATAAAATTTGAGACCTGAGATGGTTGACATTATAGTTTTTTAATAAACATTACCCAACTACCAGGTTTTAATAATTGTGACCTGAAAGCATTGATTGTGTAGTGTTACATTTCAGTTTTATTGAAGTCAGAATACTTTCATAGAGCACAGAAACAAAGACTAATTTGTAAGTGATATTATGAAAATAGTGTACTTATCCTGAAGCAGTTTTTTTTTGTTTGTTTTGAGACAGAGTCCCACTCTGTCACCCAGGCTGGAGTGCAGTGACGATCTCAGCTCACTACAACCTCCACCTCCTGGGCAAGCGATTCTGCTGCCTCAGTCTCCCGAGTAGCTGGAAGGCGCCGCCGTCATGTCCAGCTAATTTTGTCTTTTTAGTTGAGATGGGGTTTCACCATTTTGGGCAGGCTGCTCTTGAACTCCTTACCTAAAGTGATCCACCTTCCTCGGCCTCCCAAAGTGCTGGGATTACTGGTGTGAGCCACTGCACCCAGCCTTTAAGCAGTTTTTATTCATTACTACTGTTTTGTCAATTATTAAGTAAAAGTCTAGAAATCTTTGCCTTTTTGAATATTTTTTAAATCAAATTGAATGGTGGTCAAATAAATCTCTTATTATTAATTTCTCTTATAATAAATTTCTCAGAATTGCTTCAGCCTTTATATCTATTATCCCACAAAGAAATGCCTGTTTAAAAGATCTGATTCTCTTTTTTCAACATTATAGTTGTGTTACACATATTTATTTGATAGAGTTGTAGATTGTTCATTCATACTACTAAATAGTATTTAATTTTTACAGATCCCAAATATATTACTGTTAACGATGGAATTGTTCACCTTTTTATTTACTAGGTAGCTGCTGTAAGTACCATAGTAAATAGAGGGATAACACCCAAAGCTTTTGTGTTCAGAAACTATGGTCATTTTCCTGGAAACAACTCTCATTATTTGGGAGGCTGTCAGTATAAAATGTGGCAGGCCATTAGAGCCTCATCTGCTGCTCCAGGCTACTTTGCAGAATATGCATTGGGAAATGATCTTCATCAAGTAAGTTGACTTGTATGTCTTATCTTTTAAAATTTTACATGATTAAAAGAATCAGCACGTATTAAATGTCATTGATCTTCAGAAGGATCAACCTAGGAGACTTTCTTCTTTGTGTCTTCATATGTCAGAAGAGGAACAATTTAGGATATTTTTATTTGTTGTTTTTCTTAACAAGCCTCTGACATGCAAACACATTTTGGGAAAATTTTTGTGTGTTATATAGTGTGATTCGTAGCCCATTATGATAATTTTGATGGAAAAGTGAGAGTATGTATGATTAGCTTTCCAAACATGATAAAAATTAAAACCGATATACACTCCCTGAAAATGCAGAACCCAGTCTGTTTGACAGTTTGGGTGGGCATAGTTTGAAGAAAGGGATACAGTAAAATAATAATAAATACTCATTAAGTTAGCTGTGTGCCAGACACTTATTTAGTGCTGTGCATGCATTATCTCATTTAATCCTTGCTACTTATGAGGTAGAATTATTTCCATTTTACAAACAAGGAATTCGCACCTTAGGAAAAGTTAACTAACTGGACTAGCATCACAGCTGTTAAGTTACAGGGTTAGGATATTGTCTGTAATTATACTCTTTATTTGTAAAGTTGAATATTATTTCTGGAAATTCTTTTTATGTTATGTAAACTCATTTACACTTTTCGTCTGTCAAGTTTTTCCAACTCTTTATGGAAATCTTAATTCATAACTTACACTAAATGCTAATAAAGCTTTAGAGCTGATACTTTGAAAGCTTGTATTTTTATATATGCTTAATTTTTTATATTATGTCTCATTTAAAGGAGTAGAATGAGAGGAATCTTGATGTTTTTCTGTAGTCCCTAAAGTATGTCTACTCTCTTTATTTGGTCAGATATCTGTTGAGAAAAAAATCTTATACTGTTGACAGGGATATTCAGGTAGCATTCAAAAACTCATACATAGATCTATATAAACAACATGTCAACAATATAAACTTCAAAACTTTCAAATGGATCATGTAAATGTAAATGTCAATATTATAACTAAAACATTTTTATCAATTTTATCTCATTTTGATACAATAGCATATATATTTTTAAATGTTATGGTCAGCTATTCCCATTTTCTTTTTAATCTTTAAGTAATATAATATTTGTAGCTAAGAGATTAAAATAGGATTCCTTTGTCTTTGGAGTCAGTTCAAACCATTTCTTACTTTGCAGAATCAGTCATTGTTGAACTATGTAAGGCACTTCCCCTTCTTGCCTTTCTTCTCTTTCTTCCACCCCCTCAGGCAGAAAGTACTGGCTGCTGAGATTCTGATAGTGATTTCAGGACTTAATGGTCAAAATAAAATTTTTATTTTAATATGTGGCTTACTATTTTTAACAGCGATTTCCCCCTATTCATATGTACTGTGTCATAAATTGAGAAATAATTTAGACAGTGTATGTAAAATACAATAGGATTTCTAAGTTATAACCTTAATATAGTGCTACAAACTTTCAGTTATGCCAATTAGTGAAAGTCTCAAATACTAAATAATTACATTTGGGGATCATGTGTTTTCCACATTTCAAAAGAAGTTATCTCATTTGCTCTTTATTCTTTACCTAAGAGAAAGTAGTTCTAAAGTTTAACTCAGTACTGTTGAATATATATACCAAAGTAATTCAGCGGTTCCTTTTCCATTTCAGATAGATTAGTGATATTTCTGTTCATGCTTAGACATTTTTATATTGATGACCGTAATCCTTCAACTTATTTTGAGCCACAGATTAAAATAACTTCTTAAGGTTATTTGAATAAATAAATGTTATTTATAATTTACATAAATTTTTATGTAAAGCATATAGGCACGTGGGCAAAAAATGTACTTTCATATAAATAAATAAGCTTCAGAAACATTGGCACATTTAATTAATAAAAGTATTCAAATGGAATCTGGAGCCCAAGAAACCTACTTAAGGAAATATTTTTCTTACTGTATATTCTCTTCCAAGACTTGAAGAAGAAATGGGGTACTTTTCCCTTCAAATGACAACTCAGAAGATTGACAGGAATATTTTAAGGTGTGAATGATCTTGGTTGCTTAAACAAAGAAAATATTCAAGCGAAGTCCTAATTCTTTCTAACCATTCAGAAGTTTTGCTAAGTTTAAAGTATGGTACTTACTACAACCTTCTCATCCTAAATTCTTTTAATAATTATATTCAATTATTACCAGTCTTATTTTGAAAATCCCTTTTAGCTGTCACATCTGACATATGTTTTAATGTAGTTACTTTGTATCCATTGTAGTAGAAGTTAATTAATATTCTATTTGAGCAATTATTGAAAGTAGTGATATAATTAAGAGTTATGAGTAGGTGAATGGGGAGATTTCATTTGCCTTTGACTATAAGAAGAAGAGTATTACAAAATTTATAAGGTTCATTAGAAGTCCTAGAAAATTATAAAGTGAGAAGAATTCTTTGTGAGTAGCTCCCAATCTCTCCCCATCTGCCCAAGTAGTAGCATAATATGTACATGGAAGTACTACTTTTTACACAAAATTATTCCATCTCTCTTTCCATCTCCACCTTCAAAATTAAATTGTTCATTCCTGTCTTTGGAGAAAGAATCTAATAAATTAGTTTACACTAGAGGTTTTGATGACCAATTCTGATATACATATTATTCCTACCAGGCTTTATTTACATCATAAAAGTTTTTGTTCAGAGCTTAGGATACATGAACATAAATAAATTATGAAATTTTTGTTTAAACATTGCAGGTAAAGAGTGTTTTTAGCAGAAAGAACCTCGCTGACACCTGCTAAATTATGCCTATACCAAACCACAATTAATAATTTTCATTATAAATGGACAGAAATGTAGTGAGTGCTTACTCAGTGTCAGGCACTGTGCTAGCTGGGAAGAATATAAAGATTTTTAACCATAGTTGGCATATTGTTTGTGCTTCCTGGATCCTGCCCTCAAATAGTTCAGACAAAAGAATGTAAACCCAGTTATAGAATAAGGTGAAAATTTAACCATCAACATATGTACAGGATTAAGAAGTACTATAGAGGTGATTTATTCTGTCAGGGTCAGCTTAACAAAGAAGTTGTCATCTGACTTGATGTATAAAAATTGGGTCATTGATTAGGGATAGAAAATGGGATAAGGAAGGGAAAATGGGGAGTGATTCCTCAATGGTTACAGAGTATGGGTGATAAAAATGTTTTGGAAATAGATTGTAGTGTCAAGATACAGTGGCTTACACCTGTAATCCCAGCACTTTGGGAGGTCGAGGCTAGAGGATCGCTTGAGCTCAGGAGTTTAAGACCAGCCTGCTGCAACATAGTGAGACCCTGTCTCTACCAAAAAAAGAAAAAAATATTAACAGGATGTGGTAGTCCACACCTGTAGTCCCAGCTGCTCTGGAGGCTGAGGTGTGAGGATCACCTTAAGCCCAGGAGTTAAAGGTTACAGTGAATACCACTGCTATCCAGCCAGGACAACAGAGCAAGACCCTGCCTCAAAAAAAAGTAGATAGTGGTGATGTTCACAAAACATTATATAATTAATGCCACTTAATTGTACCCTTAAAAATCATTTAAATGACCAATTTTGTGTTATATTAATTTACCACAATAAAAAGCAAATTTTAAAAGAAACTAAGAAAAAAAGTCAGAATAAGATAATAAAAAGGCATATCGACGTTGTCCAACGCTTACTTTCTGGTACGTGTTCTGACTTTGGATTTGAAGTGATTAAATATACATTAAAAGCAATAAAATGTATTTGTAAATTTTAGGCTATTAAGCACATGTATAGTATACTGCAGTTCAAACACAATCTGTGTGTTCCTCTAAGAGATAATAAGTAAATTATTCAATCAAGTCATTTATCAAGTCGATTTTACTTTGGCAGTTAGCAGCATGCCTGGCACATGCCATCTATAAAAAAATAACTGTAAATATGAATACTTGAATGAATGGAAAGGCTACAGGAACTACCACAGACCCAACATTAGCCCAATGACGTATTGATAGAATAGGCATCTGAAAAGAGGAGGCTAACTATAAAACAGAGCTTAAGAGTTAGTGTGCCTCACCACTAGATTAGAGTGAGCCCAGAAACCTTAACTGCTGCACTGTTTTGATAAAACGTGAGTAAAGTTTAAGGAACAGAAATTTACTTTGAAAAATGGTTAGCGAAACTACAGGAAACCTGCCTGTAGGTTTTGATTTGGGATTGATTTTGCAGTTACCGTTTCTTGCTAAAATTTGTTTGCCTCTTCATCTTTTCCCTTTTTTGTCTTTTCTGATCATCCTTATATAGGCTTTTATATAATGAAAATGTGTTTCATCTAAAATACCTACTTGATTAGAAGTTACACAGGGTATAACAAGTATAGAATTTAAGATTTAAATGGTTTAGTAAAAAAATAATGTTTTCTGCCAAATTAGAATTTAAATGTTACCTCTATCACAGGATAGGTATCATTCTAATAATCTGTTAATTGAAAACAAAGGAAAAAGTTGAAAGGATTAAATTCAAATTTGTACATGAGAAAGCCTTTAGGAAATAGCTTAATTATTACCACCTACATTGAAGGAATCTAGATTTTTACAAAGTTCAGCAATACAAATATAAATACCTATCCAATTTATTACTTTCAACACATGTATAAAGATAGCTAAATTTAAAACTAGTTCTTTTCAACTGGTGAATGGATAAACTATGGTATATTCAAATAATGAAATATTACTCAGCAATAAAAAGGAGTGAATTACTGACATTCACAGAGACATAGATGAATCTCACAAGCATTCTGCTAAGTGAAAGAAACCAGTCCCAAAAAACTTATGCTATATGATTCCATTCATTTTGATAACAAAGTTCAATGTGTGACCTTGAAGAGTAGTTGGATGAATAGGTTTTTGGAGTAAATGTGGCAACAAACCACCCATGCTAAAATGGAGAATAGAGCAAGCAATAAAAAGATGTGGCAAACTGCTTTTCTGAACGTCAACTCAGCCCTGTGTATCCCAGTTATCTCAAGGGTATCACAAAGCTACACATTGGTGATAAATGGTGATAAATGACATTTGCCATAATAAAGGTCCATTAGCCTCAGGCTGGTTATTCTGTAACTAAAGAGCCAGTTAACTTTCTCTGGAAAGTGTTGTTAGTATTTAGGAACATTTCTATATATTGATAGCTGCCTCCTAATGTGAGCTTATTGATCCAACCAGAGTATTATTTGAGATACAGGTTTTTGAGAAAGTTGTTTTGTAATGCCATAAATGAAGACTTACCATAATCTATGGTTTGCAAAATACTGCCACTCCCCCTAAAATAACTGAGCATAAATTTGTGAAAAGATGAGGATTGTTCTTCACATTCCATGAGAAATTTTAGTAACAATAGTATACTTCATTAGTAGGGCAAAATCCTACATGATGTTTTTAATGGGACCTTCAAGCCAGAGCACTAATGGTGGGGTAGATGATTTTCCACAAAGAAAACTACTTGGGAGAATTGATTATATTCCTATATACAAGCAGAGAATAATTGGAAATCAAAATTATAACAAAAGCAGTATAGTTCACAGTAGATCCAAAAAATTAAGTACTTAGATATAAATCTAACAAAACATAGAGAATCTGTATGTTGAAAACAGAAGATGAAAGAAATAAAAGAAGACCTAAAGAAATGGAAAGGCATACCATGATTGAAAGATGCTACATGGTAAAGATGTGAGTTATTCCTGAAGTGATCTATAAATATAATGCAATGCCAATCAAAACTCTAGTAGGACTTTTCAAAAATTATACAGTCAGATTCTAAAATTTATATGGAAGGGCAGAGGAATGAGAATAGTTTAAACAATTTATTTATTTATTTATTTATTTAGAGACAGAGTCTCACTCTGGCACCCAGGCACAATCTCAGCTCACTGCAACCTCCACCTCCCAGGTTCAATTGATTCTGTTGCCTCAGCCTCCGGAGTAGCTGGGACTACAGATGCGCACCACCACCCCCAGCTGATTGTTTGTATTTTTAGTAGAGACAAGGTTTCACTATGTTGTCCAGGCTGGTCTTGAACTCCTGGGCTCAGGCAATCCGCCTGCCTCGGCTCCCCAGAGTACTAGGATTACAGGCATGAGCCACTGCACCTGGCCTAAACAATTTTAAAAGAATAAAAAGTTTCAAGGAATCACACTACTCAATTTAAAAACTTACTTTAGAGGTACAGTAGTCATGGCTACTGTATCAGTGTGGTATTTGCATAAAGATAGATATATAGATAAATGGAATTAAATAGAGAGTTCGGAAATAGATCATACATATATGGCCATTGGATCTTTGACAAAGATACAAAAGCAATTCAGTGGAGAAAGGATAGTCTTTTCAGCAAAAATTGTGTTGAAACAATTGGTCATCTTTCTCTCTCCCTCTCTTTTCCCCTAACCCCCCACCACACACACAAACACACCCCAGAAACCGTGACCTAAACCTCGCACATTATACAAAGATAATTCATAATGGATCACAGTTCTAAATGTAAAACAAAAACTGTGAAACTTTTAGAAGAAAAACTTGGTGACCTGGGTTAGGTGAAGACTTCTTACAATTATACTGAAATCATCATACATGAAATTAAAAAATTGAAATTGAAAGTTTGAGGCTGGTCTTGAACTCCTGGACTCGAGTGATTCTCCTGCCTCGGCCTCCCAAAGTGCTGAGATCACAGGCATGAACCACCATGCTCAGCGTATTTTTCTAGATTTTAAATACAATATAATGTTGATGATGTAATATATTTTCATATTGTTCTACAGTATATTTTATTATAGTTTGACCATAATTTTATCTACTTTTATGCTAGTACATTTTTATAGTGCTCTATCAGCATATTTTATTAACACCTTTGTTTCCTTTTGAATTCTTCAAAATAATCTTGATTATTGATAAATACTTAGAAATATAAAGTTTTGTCTATGTTGTTTACATTGTATCTGCGTTATAATGAATGTGATCCATTGAAATTGTATTGTTAATAGAATTTCAACTAACTTAGAATTATTTGGTTATATTTGACTTGTGAGAGAAGAACTAATTTTAATTTTTTGGTAGAACCACAGCTGTTAGGCTTTAAGTAGGACCTGTATTAACCACTAAATAAGATAATGTGTCTTTGAAAAGTAATTCAGTTCATTTCAATATTTTTTAGCAGAATATGCAAAGCAACTAAGAAGTTCAAAGAACTTTCATAATAGGAAAGGAAAACTTAATAAGAAGTTTCTTTATGAGGCCAATGAGTCTTCACATGAATTTTTTTGCAGCTGTAGTCTATAAATAAAGAAATGTACTTTTAAGGAACCTCTTAGTTTTAAATAATTTATTTAGCTTATTACAGCTTTTCCTGTGAGTCAGTTTTAAGAGTTTCTTTTTTTAACTTGTATTTTGCAGGATGGAGGTTTGCTTCTGAATAACCCTTCGGCTTTAGCTATGCATGAGTGTAAATGTCTTTGGCCAGATGTCCCGTTAGAGTGCATAGTATCCCTGGGCACCGGACGTTATGAGAGTGATGTGAGAAACACGGTAACACACACAAGCCTGAAAACCAAACTTTCTAATGTTATCAACAGTGCTACAGATACAGAAGGTTAGTCTTGTTTACTGTTTAAAATACTTCAACTTCTAGCATTCTAGCAGTTTTTTGGTGGCATATGTTGGTCCTAACTGCAAAGGCATATGATATGTCTGTATTGTGGGTTTAGGAAGGATATGGGAGCAAACATTTCGTTGTTTTCCTTTCTTGCTTGTTTCTTGTTAGGTGACTAGAACAGACACTGTTTTCCATTTGAAAGCTAGTGCTCCCTTTGCCCACTTACTGTTGGAGAAGTGCCTGAAGCTGGATAGCACAATATTTTGTTGGAGACTCTGAAGCCAGTTAAGAAAGGGAAAAGCAACAAAAGGAGTCAGATTGGTTCAAACATATACATGATAGCAAAGATTTAGAGTAAAGGGCATTCGATTATTTAATACTGTGAAGGCAAACTGGAATGAGAATATGCTCTGCTTTTACTCTTGCTGCCCCTATAGTTTAGTCTTCATACAGAGGCCAAAGTCATCCTTTTAAAATGCAAATTAGGCTGGGCACAATGGCTCACACCAGTAATCCCAGCACTTTGGGAGGCCGAGGCGGTTGGATTACTTGAAGTCAGGAGTTCGAGACCAGCCTGATCAATGTGGTAAAACCCCGTCTCTACTAAAAATACAAAAAATTAGCCAGGCATGGTGGTGTGCACCTGTAATCTCAGCTCCTTGGGAGACTGAGGCAAGAGAATCACTTGAGCCTTGGAGGCAGAGGTTGCAGTGAGCCAAGATCGCGCCACTGTACTCCAGCCTGGGCTACAAAGCAAGACTCCGTCTCAAAATAAAATAAAATAAAATAAAAAAATGTCTGTCTCCTTCTTAAAACCCTCTTTCAAGTACCTTCTCTGAAGTGTGTCCAACCACCCTTTAATTCTTGCTGGTCACCAAACTTGCTAAGCACTCTCCTACCTCAGGACCTCTGTAGTTGCTGTACTCTCTGTCTATAAGGCTATTTCCCCAGATAGGCACTTGACCCTTATTTCATTCAGGTCTCTGTTGAAATGTCAGAGGGACCTCAGAGAAACCTTTCCTGACTGCTTTTCCATCTTCCTTATCATCTCGCTCTAATTTCTTAGCCTGCTTCTTTTTCTCTTTCTCTTACAGCATTTATCTCATTATAATTATATATGATATATTTGATTGTTTACTTATCCTTCTGTCCCACTAGAATGCAAGGCAAGAATGTATCCAGTTTACTTTGACTTATCCAGTTTGCTATTGACTCCAGTGCCTGGCATATAGTAGGCATTCTGTGAGCGCATGTTGAATTTCTGGTTTTGGCCTTGAGGTGTTTGTGTGTGTGTGTATGTTTTTCTTAGAAACAGGATCTCACTTTGTTGCCCAGGCTGGAATGCAGTGACAGTCATAGCTCACTGCAGCCTCAAACTCCTGGGCTCAAACAGTCCTCCCGCCTTAGCCTCCTGAGTAGCTGGGACTACAGGTGCATACCACTGCACCCAGCTAATTTTTTAGACCTTTTTTTGTAGAGATGGGGTCTCCCTCTGTTGCCCAGACTGGTCTTGAGCTCCTGGCTTTAAGTGATCCTCCTGCCTTGGCCTTCCAAAGTGCTAGGATTACTAGCATGGGCCACCGGGCCTTGCCTTGAGGTTTAGCTTTCCTCATTTTACTATTTTGTTTTTAGTTATTGGGTGAAACGTTTTATTAAATTAAAAAAAAATATTAACACTTAACAGCTCCTTGTATTTGAACCTCATTCTTTTCATATCAGCATATTATTGGCCAAGTCATTAACATAAGTGAGAATCTTAAACTCCCCACTGAGGACTTTTATTCATTGAATGAAAACCCAAAAAAAGCTCATATGCTAGATTTTTCACTGTCTGAAATTTTGTTGCCAGATCAGTGAAATACTCTTTTTTTCCCAGCTTTATTGAGGTCAGACTGACATAAAAATTGTATATATTTAAGTTGTACAACAAATTGTTTTATTATAAGTATACCTTGTATAATGATTCCCATAATCCAGCTAATAACCTTATCTGTCACCTGACATAGTTACTATTTTGTGTGTGCCTGGTAAGAACACTTAAGATTTACTCCCCTAGCAAATTTCAAGTAAACAATACATAATACATTGTTATTAGCTATAGTTACCATGCTGTACGTCAGATCTCTAATAGGTAGTCATAACTGAAAATTTGTACCCTTTGACCAACATCTCCCCATTTCTCCCACTCCCCAGTGTCTGGCAACCACCATTCTCTCTTTTTTTTATTTCAACTATTTTAGATTCCACATAAAAGTGTTACCATGCACTACTCGTTTTCCTGTGTCTAGCTTAGTCCCCTTAGCAGAATATCTTCCAGGTTCATCCCTGTTGTCGCAAGTGGCAGGATTTCCTTCTTTTTTATGGCAGAATAGGATTCTTGTGTGTGTATATACTGTCATTTCTTTATCCATTCATCCATGGACACAGATTGTTTTCATATCTTGGTTATTATGAATAATGCAGTGAACATGGGTGTGCAGCTATTCCTTCAAGATAACGATTTCATTTCCTTCAGATATATACCTGGAGTGGGATTACTGGATCATATGGTAGTTCTCTTTTTAATTTTTTGAGGAACCTCCATACTGTTTTCCATAGTGGCTGTAGCAATTTACATTCCCATAAACAGTTTACAAGGGTTTCCTTTTCCCCACGTCCTTGCCAACACCTATTATCTCTTGTCTTTTTGATAACAGCCAACCTAACAGGTGTAAGGTGCGATCTCATTGTGGTTTTTGATTCACATTTCCCTGATGGCTCAATAAAATATCCTTACCATAAGCCATTTGCTGAGACAAGTGACTTTAGTCGGGCAGTCTCATAAGAGTTAAGTCTGTACTTTTTGCAGACCATGTAATGGGCTTATTTAGAATTTTCAAGAAACATGAAATGTTGCCTCAGTGTACCTGCACTCTAGTTAGAGACAAATGAGTAAAAATTTAATAAACTCAGTTAACTTTGAAAAAGATATAACAAGAATTATATTGAAACATGTACTTACTGATACTAAATTGCTCTTGGCCTACAAAAACAACAATTTCATAGGGTTTAATATGTGGTGAATTGCTAAATAAATGGTAAATGATTGTAAGTGATTAAGACTATGAATTAAGAAGAGGAATGAAAAAACTTGATTGGTGTAGACAGCTTATAAGATGTAAAGTAGACTTGATGTGGGTCTTAACGGATATATAGGATTTGGACATTTTAAAAGAGAGTGAAGACTTCCTCTTCTGGACATCATATAATATTAGGGACCAGATATTTCCTCTCACCTTAAACAACTAGAAAAGTAGACAGGACAATGGTTTTCAGACATTAGATAACAGGTAACATAAGACAGTGATCTCTGAAAGGAGAATGAATGAGGTCATCACTGTTAATGTCCAGTTTGCTGCCTGAAAAGAGTTTCTATACTAGAGCATAGGGAGGGGGCACCAGAAAAGTAGGGCAGTCTCTTAGAGTTGGAGAAACAAAGTTTGTAGTTCAAGGAGGTCAAGGAAAGTAAAATTTGTGGGCTATGTGCAAGATCTGAACAGTGAAAACTACCAAACATTACTGAGATAAATTAAAGACCTAAATAAATAAATAGATATACTGTGTTTGTGAATTGGAAATCTCAGTATTGTTAAGGTATCACATCACAAATTGATCTATAGATTCAATACAATTCCTGTCAAAATCCAAGCAGGCTTTTGAGGGATAGAGATTAACAAGCTGATTGTAAAATGTATATGGATATGCAAAGGACCCAGGATAGTGGTCTCCAACCTCTTTGGTCCCAAGGACTGGTTTCGTGGAAGATAGCTTTTCCACGGATCGGGGTGGGGAGGGGAGGGATGGTTTTGGGATAATTCAAGCACATTACATTTATTATATGCTTTATTTCTAGTATTACATTGTAATATATAATGAGATAAGTATACAGCTCACCATAATGTAGAATTGGGAGCCCCGAGCTTGTTTTCCTGCAACCAGATGGTCTCATCTAGGGGTGATGGGAGACAGTGGCAGATCATCAGGCATTAGATTCACATAAGGAGCACACAACCTAGATCCCTTGCATACTCAGTTCACAATAGGGTTTGCACTCCTATGAGAATCTCATGCCACCACTGATCTGACAGGAGGTGGAGCTGAGGCTGTAATGCAAGCGATGGGGAGTGACTGTAAATACAGATGAAGCTTTGCTTACTGGCCCTGCCACTCACCCCCTGCTGTGCAGCCCAGGGGTTGGGGACCCCTGACCTAGAATATCTGACACAATTTTGGAAAAAAGAAAAAGTTGGAGGACTTACATCTGCTGATTTAAAGACTGTAAAACTACATTAAGCAAGGAACTGTGGTGTTTGAATATAGACATATAAATCAATGGTATGTAATAGTCCAGAAATTGATTTATACATGTAAACTCAAAAGACTTTTTACAGAGGTGTTAAGGTAACTCAGTGGGAAAGGACAGACTTTTCAACAAATGGTCCAGGATGATTAGATACTTATATCCACAGCGTTGACCTTTATCCCTTTGCACCACACACAGAAGTAACTTGGAATGCATCACAGTCATTCATGGCTACTATGCAGAAATACAATTGATTTTTTTCTATTGACCTTATATAACTTCAAACTTGCTGAACTCACCTATTCTAGTAGCTTTTTATAGCTTTCTTAAAATTGTCAACATAGGCAACCAGGTTATCTGTAGAGTTTTACTTCTTCCTTTTTAATCTACATGCCCTTCATTTCCTTTTAATGCCTTACGGCACTGAAAAGGACCCTCCAGTACAATGCTGACTGGAAGTTGTGAGCCTAGACATCTTACCCTGTTCCTGATCTTAGATGGAAACCTGAATCTAAGAGCTGAAACTATAAAACTTATAGAAGAATATGCTGGAGAAAACCTTAATGACCTTGGGTAGGTAAGATTTTTTAGATAGGACATAGAAAATATGAACCAGAGAGGAAAGAAAGAGATAAATTAGACTTTGAATTGTAAATTCTGCTCTTTAAAAGATACTTTTTATGAAATGAAAAGGCAAGTCATACACTAAGAGAAAATATTGGTAAAACATGTATCTGACCCATCATGAGGTATAAATTTATAATCAGATTCAAAATATATAGAGAATTCTCATATACGTGTATATATGTATATATACGTGTGTATATATAAAAAATATAGGCCGGGTATGGTGGTTCACACCTGTAATCCCAGCACTTTGGGTGGATCAGTTGAGCCCAGAAGTTTGAGAGCAGCCTGGTCAATATAGTGAGATCCCATCTCTACAGAAAAATAAAAAACTATCTGGGCATGGTGGCACACACCTGTAGTCCCAGCTACTTGGGAGGCCAAGGCAGGAGGATCACTTGAGCCCAGGAGGTGGAGGTTGCAGTGAGCCATGATTGCACCACTGTCATATATATAGGACACAGTGATCTCAGTGAAAAAATGGGCAAAAGATTTGAACAGACACTTCATTGAAGAAGATATACAAATGACTAACAAGTACATGAAAACCTTCTCAACATAATTAGTCATTATGGAAATGAAAATTAAACCACAAGATAACACTACCTCTGCAATGCAAAACTTAAGACTTGACATACTAACTTTGGGCAAAGATGTAGAGCAGTGAGAACTCTAATATATTAGCGGTTGGAATAGAAAAATGGAAGACAGTGTGGCAGGTTTTTTTTTTTTTTTTTTTTTTTTAATAAGCATACCCTTTACCATATGAACCAGCAATTTTATTCCTGAGTTTTTGCCCAAGGGAAATGCAATCATGTGCACATGAAGACTTATGTGTAAATGTTTATAATAGGGTTATTTCTAGTAGCTAAAAACTGAAGAGAGCCAGACCAGAACTGCAGAGAACAAATTGTGTTGTATCTATACAATGGAACACCATTTAGCAATGAAAAGAAAGGAACTACTGATTTATGCTACAACATGGATGAATCTCAGAAGTATTTTGCCATGTAAAAGAAGGTAGATACTTGTGATTCTGTTTGTATGAAATTCTAGAAAAGGGAAAGCTGGCACCAATTATAAAGAGGCTTAAAGGAAATTTTACAGTGATGGAAATGGCTGTGTCATGATTATTGTGCTTACACAAGTGTATACATTTGTCAAAACTTGTCAAACTGTACAGTTAAAATTGGTGAATTGCACTGGATGTAAATGATATGTCAATGAAGATGATCCCAAAAAATTAAAAACAACAAAAAAAGGAAGATTGGAAAGGGCATTTCAGCAGTGGTGAACGGTATGACCAAAAAGCATAGAGAGAATAGAACAAGTAAACTAATTTCACAGAATAATGTGTTTTGGAAGATGAATTTTATCTTGTAGTTTTACCCATTACTATGGATTACTTCTACTGTTAGTTTGAATAATGAAATTAGTGAATCTTTGTAATGTGCCTAAAAAGAAGATAATTTTAAATAAAGATAAGTTAACAGTTCATTGCTCACTTCATCCCCTCTTTTCTTCTCCCCCTATCCTTTTCTTTTTTGCTTTAACAGAAGTCCATATAATGCTTGATGGCCTGTTACCTCCTGACACCTATTTTAGATTCAATCCTGTAATGTGTGAAAACATACCTCTAGATGAAAGTCGAAATGAAAAGCTGGATCAGCTGCAGTTGGAAGGGTTGAAATACATAGAGAGAAATGAACAAAAAATGAAAAAAGTTGCAAAAATATTAAGTCAAGAAAAAACAACTCTGCAGAAAATTAATGATTGGATAAAATTAAAAACTGATATGTATGAAGGCCTTCCATTCTTTTCAAAATTGTGATGAGTATATGCATATGGTCTCATAAATGAAGCCCTGTTCAGAAGATCCACCACATTCAGTAAGGAATTGTGGGATTCGACATGAGTTAACTTTGAAATACTTATGAATTCTGGAGAATCCTGAAAAAGATGGTGCTTCGACCAGCTTGCACAGTACAGAGAATATTCTTGATTACAGAATTCATATGGGAACTAGACTTTTAAGATGTTAATAATTAACTAAGCTTTTGTAACCTTACTGTGCTAGTTGGTTTTAGTAGATGTTGGTGTTATATTGTTTGATGTTTGAAAATTTATTAATATATGTGCCGAACAAGAAACTGAAAGCTATATTGTACTTTGTGTTTTTACTTTAGTCCTCATAATCATGTTAAATTTATGTGATCATTGATTTTATTTCATATGGAAAAGCTAATTTCTTCTTAAATTTACGTTACCTAATCTCACTAGCTATGTTCTCCAATCCACACTGCCTTTATTGTAATATCGTCTAAATAGATGCAGAAAATGGAATTTTCTCTATTAAAGTATTTTACATTTGAAATATGAAAGAACCAGATACAGTTTTCTATTCAAATATGTTTATTTTAACATTGGTTAAAAAAGGTGAAGTTCCAGTCAACCACTTTTTAATCCCTAAAATTTCAAGATAATGCTGTATTAACTTTTCCAGATCTAACACTAGCTTATTCTTCCCTGTTATAAAATGGTTTGAACTTACTGAGAAAATATTCCTATCATTAACAAAAATAAACTATTTAAATAATCTGTTAAAAGGCTAATGTCATTTTAAAATTAATTTTTGTTCATAATGTAGCTCCCCTTTAGCCTTTGAATACACCTGGCAGCAGTATGCTTAAAAATTACAAGTTAGGGCATGGCATGGTAGCTCACACCTGTAATCCCAGCACTTTGGGAGGCCGAGGCAGGCAGATCACCTGACGTCAGGAGTCCAAGACCAGCCTGGCCAACACGGTGAAACCCCGTCTCTAATAAAAATACAAATATTAGCCAGACATGGTGGCGCACGACTATAGTCCCAGCTACTCGGGAGACTAAGGCAGGAGAATGGCTTGAACCTGAGAGACGGAGGTTGCAGTGAGCCGAGATAGTGCCAGTGCACTCCAGCCTGGGCAACAGAGCAAGACTCTGTCTCAAAAAAAAAAAAAGAAGTTACCTTTCTTTTAACTCCTTTGAACTGTCTGGATTTCACAGAAGTTGACAAGATGCACTTACATGGAACATTGTTTATGCCAAACAAATTCATCTTTGTTGTATCTGTCACATAAATCCTTACATGGAATATTTAGATTTCTCAAGAAAAATGAAACAAAGGTAAGTGCCGCTTGTTTTAGACATATAAACTAAAGCTAGACCCGGTTGCCCAGATAGTCATACTGCGTCTTTGCAATGTCAGTTCACAGAGGCTGTGAGATGTGTTTCAAGGAGTGGAGTTGAGAGTCTGGATGCTAATCCTGTTTTTGCTGCAAGAACCCTTCTGTTTGTGACCTCGAGGAAGACAAATGTCTGTAGACTTTGCGTATCCCATTTGTAAAATGAGGAAAGCTAGCTGTAAAATTTTCTAACATCTGAGTTATATCAACTTTAGATATAGTACAAAATAGGAAACTACCAATGATTTCTAAAGATAATATAAAATAGTCCTTTCAGACCACAAATATTACATAATAACATGCAGCTAAGAACTTGTAAATGCAAGAAAAATACAAATAATTGGAAATCAGAATATTTCTGGGAATTCTTCGTAATAAAGCAAATTTCAAGCACGATAAAGTAATATTTATGCATATTTACATGTTTGCACCTCATCATGAGGTCAGTCTAGTCTTAAACTGATATAGTTCATCTGTCTTAAAGCTGAAGTTAACTATTTCCCTTATTTGTGCTTGACTTATTTCTTTCTTAAATAATGCATTACACAAGTGAACTCTGGCCATGGCTTCTTTTTTTTTTTTTTTTTTCTTTTTTTTAAGTTTCCCATGTATACAACTCAGTCCTTTTTGTACTGACACCTAATATAAGCCATGTAGCATGGCACCTACATATGCGCCGTGCCATCCCTATTTCTTTAGCTCTTTTCACTCTCGAACAAAAGGCAAACCCAGATGTGTGGTGCACCAGTTTCAGCCGTTCTTGTCCTCATTTGTATTTGAAACTGGTTATCTGAAGAACTGTAATTCACCTGAGATAACCCTCATTTTATAACAAGGCCAGTGCTTGCTTTATCCAAAGGAACCCAAAAAGTAAATTCTGCAAATAATACAGAACAGCAATAGGAAGAGATGTGAAAAAGAATTTTCAGTCTTACACAGGTAAAATATTTGCCCTTTTCAAAAAGGCAAAGAGGAAGAATGGTCTATTTTATAAATATAAAAAATTCCTCAACTCATGTCTTCAAAATATAGAATAAAAATTGTTTTAATGCTCAGGTTTTCCTGAGTGTCTCAGAAGTCTTATTTCTATAGTAAATGGTGTACTGGTAATATTTCAGTTCCATTCTTGTTGCAGATACTATTCTTTATTAAAAATAGTACTTCACAGCCAGGGACAGTGGCTCAACCTGTAATCCCAGCACTTTTGGAGGCACAGGCAGGCGGATCACTTGAGGTCAGAAGTTCGAGACCAGCCTGACCAAGATGGTGAAATCTCTACTAAAAATACAAAAATTAGGCCGGGCACGGTGGCTCACGCCTGTAATCCCAGCACTTTTGGAGGCACAGGCAGGCGGATCACTTGAGGTCAGGAGTTTGAGACCAGCCTGGCCAACATGGTGAAACCCCGTCTCTACTAAAAATACAAAAATTAGCTGGGCGTGGTGTCAGGCTGCTGTAATCCCAGCTACTCAGGAGGCTGAGGCAGGAGAATCGCTTGAACCTGGGAGGCAGAGATTGCAGTGAGCCGAGATCACGCTATTGCACTGCAGCCTGGGCAAAAAGAGTGAAACTGTCTCCAAAAAAAAAAAAAAAAAAAAAAAAAATAGGCATGCTGCTGTAATCCCAGCTACTCGGGAGACTGATGCAGGATAATTGCTTGAACCCGGGAGGCGGAGGTTGCAGTGATCCGAGATCGCACCACGCACCACTGCACTCCAGCCTGGGCGACAGAGTGGGACACAGTCTCAAAAAAAAAAAAAAAAAACTTCAGATACAGTTGTCCCTAGAGGCATTTGGGCTAGATGGGATTTCCCCTAGAGGGTGGAGAGAGCCGGGCCTGGGTTATAATTACACTATGCACTACTTCCTCCTAAGCCACAAGTTGTTTTTTTTTTT